TTCTTAATATTATTTTATTATAGAATTCATGACTTCTGATCGTGTGATCATCGACATAACCAAGTACATCAATGAGGTATGCAACTAGTGCAACGAATTAGATCGAACCAAGGAAAGCCACTTGTTACATGCCGTCTGCATATGTTGGCAAGACAAGAAAGAACAAGACAACAAATTTATAGCACATGAGATTGGGTCACTTTGATGTGTTCGGGCTGGTCAAACAACCATTGATTTGCGGGATGCGATACATCGTGATGTTCATTAATGACTTGTCCACACATTTGTGAGGTTTCTTTATGAAAGAAAAATCTGAAACATCTTCAAAAGCTAACCGAAAGTCAGTTCCATCATTACACTGTTTGACTTGTTTTCTTTGTCATGCAAAATCACTTTTTAAATATATATAATATATTTAAAAACTAGGCCATATAGCCGTTGGTGGTGCATGATGAAAGTTTATTTAAGCTCAACGGCTTAATTTCAACGGTTACTTTTTTTTTATAAGTATTTTTTGACATTCTCAAAATTTTCATACCACCAACATTATTCATCACTCTTGTTCCATGTTGGCAAAAATCCACTAACTTACTCAATTGTTTGCATTTTTTCCCATAATTTATCTTTCACTAATGGCCAAAGGTTCAAAGCAAAAATGTTCCAATCACTCCATCGATGAAGATGTAGCACTTTGTCGAGCTTGGATTATCATTAGTGAAGATCCAATCATTGGGAATTCACAATCTAGTGGAACAATGTGGAATCAGATTATAACTCAAATTTTCAATTTATCCCTGGTGCCCAAGATAGGATACCAAGGAGCTTAAAATCACGTCGGGGGAATATTCAACAATCGTGCACCAAATTCTCGGAATGTCTTGATCAAGTGGGAATGTTAAACAAGAGTGGCCAAAATGAAGTGGACAATGTAATTTGTTTCTTAGTCATGACATATGTAGTACTTGGATGCAAAATGGGTGTATTATAATAGGAGAAGAAACCATTCTAGCTTGATCATTGTTGGACTGTTGTCCAGCATGCCCCTAGGTGGCAACCGATGGATGTAGATGATGATTTTTCGATAGAGTCTATTCTGAAAACACAAGACCCCCTTGAAAGCTCGAATTGTTGACAAAGGCCTATGAGTCACAAGAAAACAAAAGAGTTAAAAGGAAAGGGGGTTGTGGAGCCAAGCTATGAAGAGAATAAAGAGTTAAGAAAAGTCATGCTGTCTTACAATGAGACGCAATGGTTCCAACGGAAAAAAGTCGATATTATAGCCAAGGAATTGGCTTGTTCTCTTAACTTTGAAGATGATGTCTACCGTCTCGAACCCCTCGAATATGATGATTTCTAGATTTGGATGTAAGTTTTTATTTAAAAATTATGTAATTTCATTATTGTAATACGTTCAAGTTTATGAAATAAATTATCATTTTCCAAAACTTGTTTATTCATTACAAAACATTTTTACACACCAAATTAAAAACTCATAAAAGCAAGTTGCACACCAAACTAAAAACACATAAAAACACTTCTAAATTGCAAGAACATTGCAATTTAGTTAATGAAATTGTGAAAGGGCATTGCAATTATAAAAAGATAACACTCAATTATCGGCTCCATATTATGTATAGAGGTGTTAAATGATATCAGCTATAGTGGGCAATTGGATATACCATAATCCTTTGATTCAACATAACCTCATGAAGGTTCTTTGTACCAATATGATGCTTAATTGTCACCTCTTCCACATGGCACATTGTGTTTTTAGCGGGAACTATTTCATCATCGTCATGCATTGTGGAGAATTAAGCGTGTCTTCATTACCTCATTAATGTCTTATATATACCATTGGGAAGCATGAATTTTTAGAATTATAAAACGAGCTTGAAGGATGCCGAAAGCGCCATCCTTATGATATTGCTCTAGGAGTTTAGCGAACATTTAATTTTGCCGTCCTTGAGGATCCGAAAGCGATTGCACAAAAGTGTTCCACTTTGGATATATGTCATTTGCAAGACAGTATAATTGCTTATATTGTTTCCCATTAAGAATGTCCCAGACCTGTGGAGCAAGCCCCTTTTATGACATCATCAAACAAGGATGACTTATATAGTACATTCAGGTCGTTATTCATTCCTAGCATTCCAAACTTGGCATGCTAGATTTGTATGATGTATGATGCAACTGCTTTAAGGATTAGTGTAAGACGACGATAGTGGCTCGTGTATGCAGCGTGGAGGGCATTGGGCCAGTTTTTCCACTCCAAGTGCATGTAGTCAATGCTCCTATCATCTTAGGGAACCCTTGTTCTTCAACTTTTTGCAATAGTTTGTGTAGATCAACCCTTGTAAGTTTCTAGATATATCAGCTAGCATACTGTATGCAAGTATAAGAAGAGCGGCTGCCATCTTCACTTGGATTGAGAAACCAAACTTGCCGCATGCATCCAGTTTTTGTTGGAAATAATTGTCAAAGTGGAAAATTTGTTCCATTATTTGGTTAAACAATACTCGCCTCATTTGGAACATGTTTTTGAATTATAATAAGGGATATAAGGGACGGTCAACGAAGTAATTTTTCATAAGGTTTTCATGGGCACTTACACTATTTCTTGGTATACTACGTCATAATGAAGATGTACCACCGTGGAGCGACTACGCAATTTCCTTCTTTTTTTTTCTTTTTTTTTCGTGTCCTTGTTGTGCTTTGTCGTTCATACATAGCTGTAATAATCATGTGGGCAGCTTCCTCTTCTTCAATGGAAGTGGGATCGTACATATTATTAGACATTGTTGTGTAGGAGTTGAGAATGAAGCTTTGAGAAAAGATAAAGAGAAAAGTTGATATAGATCCAAATTTCCATTGAGAAGTTGGATTTAATCCTCAGATTTGGTGACTTTGATACTAGTCCTTTGACTTCTATGCCACATAGGATTACATTCCTTTTTTAATATTTTATGATGTAATATTTTTATTATTTATTTTTTAAAATCATTTTTTGTTCCAATGTTGCCTCTTATGCTTTGAATTGGGTAATAGTAATTTATGTGATAATAATTAGCCATTTATAACGTATGTCTAATAGTAATTTGTGTAATAATAATTAGCCATTTATAACATTTGTCATTAAATAGAAAAGGAAAAAAAATCAGTAACATATCCCAAAAATCACTTTGTTACAAACTATTATACATTGTCAACCAAAGCATTTGATTGTGGAACTTTTAGTACCTCTGTAGACTGTATGCACACGAAAGCATACATCACACGCAAGAGCAGATCAAAGAGAGGTAGTGATGGATGATGACATTCATTTGCTAAATTTATAATGTAAGACACTAAGGGTTCAACTTGAGAGAGAGAACTTGATCTACTTGCAGCTAGAATAATGATCCAAAACGGCATTTCCCTCCAAAACAACTACCTACGCATTTCTACGGTTTCTAATTGAAGCATGCAAGGAAAAACCAGATTAGTTTGCAAACAAATATCCCTGACTACTTCAACATGCAAGGAAAAACCATATCATTTGAAGCATGCAAGGAAAAACCAGATCAGTTTACAGACACATCGTTTAGTACATGAGTTATAGGTAACAATTTTTATTTGTGTTCACCCTATGGTAGAGGTATATTACATACTCTTATAGATATATATAGTAGAAATCCTATGGTGTAGGTATATTGTTCTATTGCCTATTGCATAGGTATATATATATATATATATATATATATATATGTGTGTGTGTGTGTGTGTGTGTGTGTTTTTTCATATTTTTGATAATTATTTTATTTACAATTTTTATTTGTCTATTTTTTGTATCTTAATCTTTTAATTTATGTTCCTAACTTATATGCAGTCTTTTAATTAAAGTTCCTAATTTATAGGTAAGACAATTTATCACTAAGTTTTTTCGTTGCTAATAATAACATTATTTACCTGTATGTAAGGTACATAATTTCATGTGGGTGCTTATCTGATCGATTGGTATAATATACGGGTCTTTACTTTGCATTAATTAAATTGTATTTTATCCATATATTAGGTAAATATTATCACGGAAAGATTTCAAATTTTAAATTAAGAAATTCAATTACAAGGAAATAATTCATTAATTTTAGATTTTAAATGTGTTTTCCTTACTTACTTCAAATGGTAAAATTGACACAACAACAAAAGTAATAAATGGCAAAGGACCTATATCTAAAATCCAAAACGTGTGGACTAAACCCAATAACAGCTAATCATTTTATACCTAGATCTAAAAAGCCCAAAGATAAATTGGAGTGCAATTTCTTCTGAAAGTGAGATGGTTGTTGGTGTTGTGAGGCCTTAACATTTATAGGGAAAAAGATGATCTAAGAGATAACATATTTGTGGATGAGATTTATCTAAGTGAATTTGATCCAATGGTTGTTGTGAGATGTAATCTTATCATATGGGATATGGATAGATTTCCATAATGAATATGAACCAACTTTATCTACCATCATAATGTTCTGACAACAGTAAATGAGAAAATGATGGAAGCTTGTAGTGAATCAGAACCAGATTCATCTACCATCATAATATTATGACAAAAGTAGATGAGAAAGTGATAGAAGGCTATGAAAGAAATGTTGTTTTTTTAATTTTGTCCAAATTTTTATTTTTTTGGTAGAAATGTTAAAAAAAAATAAAAAAATGAAAACATAACATAAATATACATTAAAATTAAATAAGTAAACCAAAATAAAATAAAATTGTACATAAACAAAATTACTTCATAAAAAATGAAAACTCTAATGGGTCACTACCCACCATTTTTAGAGCCCATTAGGGACTATGGTTGGGCTTGCCCTAACAAGCTGCCCGCCCCACACAGAAGACGTTTTGGCGGGAGTTGAGCCCTCAACCTCCAAATTTCCAATTCCAAAAGTCCTTCCCAAGCCCCAGAAACCTCAATTGCACTCCGATCTCTGAATCTCAGACAAATTAGAGAGTGAGAGAGCGAAATGGCTCGGGAGGAAGCGCAGCTGAGTGCGGCCAAGAAGTCGTATCGAAACGCTAAGGCTACGGGGAACCACGAGGAGGAGGCTCGGTGGGCGAATGTGATCGGTGACATGTTGAAGAAGAGAGGGGAATACGTGGAGGCCCTCAAGTGGCTGCGTATCGACTACGACGTCTCCGTCAAGTACTTGCCCCAAAAACATTGCCTCCCCACTTGTCAGTCACTCGGTGAGCTCTATCTTCGCCTTGAGTTTTACAAAGATGCTCTTCTGTATCAGGTATTTTGTCAATTTGGGTTTGTTTCGTTTAAGTGTTTTTTAATGAATTTTTTGTCGGATTTCTATGTTTTTATTTTTCTGGTTTAAGAATGTCGAATATTGGAAGTTGGGTAGTTGTGATTGTTTGATTGCTTGATTGCTTGATTGCTGAGAAATTTGGGGAAAATGAAAACAAAACGAGGGATTTGGGTGAGATTATAACCAACTTATTATATTAATAAGAAGGGTTGAGCTGAGTGGAGGGGGTTTGTTTTCTGTGGGATCTGTAAAGGAAGTAGTAGACTTGAACTTCAGCATCTGTTTGGTTGTTGAGAATGTGCATGAAAGTGAAGCGGGTGAAGAACTTCGAGTAAGTAGGGCTTAATATGTTGGGCGCACATTTGATTGTTTGAATTCTTGAATTGATCAGATTAAATAAAAGGCCAGGTTAATCCCTACATTGACTACTTTCAAGTTTCTAGTCCGTTGCAAAGTCTTAGCAAACACCCATTGAGATATCAACTGTAGCCTTAATATTAGGTGAATAAATTATTTGATATCTCTTATTCTGTAGAGAGATTTATCGAGAAATCATATAGTTTTGGATGTATGAGTGCTACTTTTGAGAACCAAAATTGAGTCTTTACCTGTTGTATCTGTTGCAGAAAAAACATTTAGAGCTCGCTGAGGATGCCAATAATCTCATTGAGCAGCAAAGGGCCAATACACAACTAGGTCGTACCTACCATGAAATGTTTTTAAGGTCTGACGATGACCATTATTCGGTTCAGAATGCCAAAAAGTATTTCAAGTCTGCTATGAAGCTTGCACAGATTATCAAGGAAAATCCACCTACTAAGAATTGTTCTTTCCTCAAGGAATATATTGATGCGCATAACAATATAGGAATGCTTGAGTTTGACCTTGATAATCTGGAAGAGGCTCGAAAAATCTTAACTAAAGGATTGGAGATTTGCGACGAAGAAGAGGTAATGGCAGATGATGATGGGCGCAGCAGGCTCCATCACAACCTTGGAAATGTTTACATGGAGCTAAGGATGTGGGATAATGCTCGGGAACACATTGAGAAGGACATTATGATATGTAAAAGAATTGGCCATTGCCAAGGGGAGGCAAAGGGCTACGTCAATCTTGGTGAATTGCATTACCGTATTCAGAAGTATGAGGAAGCACTCCTTTGCTACCAAAAAGCACGTGAACTGGCAAAATCAATGGAAGATGAGGATGCTTTACTCAGGCAAATTGATCAAAATATTGAAATTGTAAATGAAGCCATTAAAGTAATGGATGGGCTGAAGAAAGAAGAGCAGAATCTCAAAAAGCTAACAAGAGACATGGCCATTACAAGAGGCACACCGCGTGAGAGGAAGTGTCTGCTGCAGCAAAATGCTTCTCTTGATTGCCTCATCGAGAAATCAAGGACAATCTTTGCCTGGCTGAAGGTGCATACTTGGCTTGATGTGTTTTGTCTGCCTTTCTAACTTTTAAAAAAAATGTATGTTGCTCTTCATAAGGAACAACGCTCCATCTTGTTGAGTTAGTCTCTTGTTTTTCTGTTATTCTTGTTATGCTATTAAAAACTTTTCCTGTCATTATTGAAAAATTTCATATTTCAGCTCCTTGAATTTGCGAAAAGGAAGAAGATAATAGCGAGTGAGCTTTGTGACCAAGAAAAGCTGAGTGATTCTCTTTTGGTTATTGGAGAATCATACCAGAAGCTAAGAAAGTTCAAGAAAGCCCTTAAGTGGTACATGAAGAGTTGGGAAATATACAAGTCAATTGGTAATTTGGAGGTAAGTTGGTGTAGTTGGCCTTTTTTCTATAACATTATACAGTATGATGTGTAATTTAGTGTCCTTGACAGAGAAGTAACGTGGACATAAAACATGCTTAAATTAATTTGTTAGTAGACTTTGGTAAGCTTGGTGCATGCTATATCATCTAACTAGAGATCGAGGTGGTCCTGCTGGGCAACACTGGGATTTCATTAATGTATATTGATTGCGTTGATGGTTGTACTGTACTTCTGTTGTTTGATAGATGCTGACTCAGAATTGTTAATGCGTAGGGGCAAGCGTTAACAAAAATTAATGTAGGTGATGTTTTGGACAGTGATAATAATTGGGAAGGAGCACTAGATGCATTTGAAGAGAGTTACAGGTATGTTTTTTCTAGTGGACATTTCTTTTTGGAATTCGAAGATCATAAAGAAGCTTTTTAATCACCATGGATTCTCTAAGGTGTCTGCATTCATGCTGAGCACAAAAATCGTCCTGGATGATTGCATATAAAATTGTGAAATACAAACATTTGATATCAAAAATATCTGTGAGCATGTGGCTCACATAGCTTTAATATGCTGTTTATTTATTTTTCTTTGGCATCTCATAGTTTTCAGTTGTTATAACAAATAATACAAACTGTATGTTTACATGAAAAAGGAGTTGTAGTTTTTGTTGTAGGGTGCGGAGAGTATTTATATTCAACATGTGAAAAATAAATCTTGAGAATAAGATGAAGATCATCTTTCATAATTCATGAATACAGTACATGGGTGTTTAAATAGAACACCAATACATCAATTGTCCTAATTATTTTCTAGAATCAACTTTTTTTGAACTGTACATCTGTAGTAGCTTCCAAACCAGAACCAACTTGGTTTTCACATGCACAATAGAGTCAATGCAAGTTAAGAACTGCATTCCTAGGCACTATATTTTCACATTGAGTAAATTTATCATAAAGAGAATTAAAGATAGTGCATAGTTTGATGCCCATTTTATTTCATTTCATTTTTCCTCTATCCATTTGTTAAAACTGCTGCTTTTATTTATTAACATCATCATCACAATTCACATTGTTTTTGAAATGTTGCTATGATGTTCAGATATTTAATAATCATTTTGTTCATCTGAAATACAAAAGAAAATGAATCTAAATTTAGTCTTGAGAGAGGATATATATATATATTACATAGATTATGGCTTTAATTTGGTCCGTATGGAGATTCATTTTGAGGACTTGTGAAAGATTCATGTAGCCAACCCCATATTTTGGATAGAGTTGTGTTTGTTTTCTTCAAAAGAGCTATTAGTAACTATTCTAGCTCAAAAGATACCCTAGAATATAGTCAATTGATTTGCCTATAAATGCATAAACTTTCTTTTCTGACCCAAAAATAAATTTTCTTGCTTTCAAGGGTTATGTTGAATTCATACTGTATTGTCTTTGCAGGCTTGCGGTTGAGGCGAACCTTCCTTCTGTACAGCTTATGGCGCTAGAGAATATGCACTACAGCCACATGATAAGATTTGACAATGTTGAAGAGGCCAGGTAATTCCTGCAAGTTCCCCACCGCTCTCGATGCAATGGAAAGTAATGACCAAACGGTTAATAATATAAGACTTTAGGTTGTATCATTATTTTTATAAAATTTCAATAAGTTATTTTAAAAGGTGGATACCTCTGTGCAGGAGATTGCAGCATCGAATCGACAAATTGAAGCAATCAAAATATACAGATCTTCAAACAAAAAATGTGGCAGAGGATCACTGCTCTGAATCTGATACAGAAGGGAGTGGTCATCTGTCAGATAATATGTGCAAGTATGCGGTTCATCAGAGATAAGAAAATGCAATTCTAGCAAATCACAATCTTTAGCCAGTGTGGAAGAGTTAAACGATGAGGAACCTATAATTTCTCTTATCTCTTCGACCAAAGCTTCACCCAAGGTGAAATCCACTCATTTACGAAAACAAAATATTACAACTGCGACAAATATTCCACAAAAAAGTTTGTCTGAACCAAACACTAATGAGCAGACAGTCGTTGGCCGTAAACGCGTTCGTCTAGTCCTTTCTGATGATGAAGATGAAATGTATGATGAGGTACAATGCTCAAAAAGCTGGTCTAAGAAACTCCCATTAGAAGATGTTGCTACATCTGATGAACGTAAGTCTTAACCATTGACTAATGTGATCTACATATTTTAACCACAGTGAAGAGCCATAAAATCTAATGTTTTTCTTGTCTGGTTGCAGTGAAGATTAAAAGAAATACAGCCAGCCCTGCTCGTAAATTTCAGGTAGGGGCTCGTCTTGGATCGATTGTGATGAATAATCTCACCCTTGTGTTGTAGTTGGTTTTTAAGTGCTTAACCCTTTGGGTTTTGCAGGATGTCTCATCCTATACCTCAAATTGTACCACAAGGTCTTGCAATCCTGTTAATATTGAACAAAGCTCTAGTTCATGCAAATCCAGGACTCTTAATGTGGTCACTCAAAATGGCAGAGGTTTTAGAGCTTCAAGCTCCGAAGAAGGTTCCATTGCTGCTAGTGGCTCTAAATGTGATATCGGTTTCCCTGAAAATCTAGTTAATAAGAATCACGGTGCCCATCTTATTTTTCTTACCTCTGATGATGAAAACAATGTGAGTGCCAGCCAATTTACTTGTAGGCAGATGGTTCTATCTGGTTGCATATGACTCTGCACCATGCTGTTGCCACTATTACAGTTTTAATATTTACTAAATTGTGGTCTTTTGTAATTGCAGCAATGCATTACAGTCAAGATTGACAAAGACCTAATACATTTGGATAATGGCTCATTTATGGATTCTGATAAGTTAAGCATTGAGTCTGTCAAGGTTGAACTGGCGTGCTTATACTACTTGCGACTTCCAATGGAAAGAAGATCAGAAGGTAGGCATTTATTAAATTTAGTATGTTTGAAGTTGCTGATAGTTATGGCACTAAAACCTTGACATATAACTTATAAGTGATTCACTGCTGCAGAACAGACTGGGTTCAATAAATAGTTGCAATCAAGATGTTATTGCATACAAAGATTTTGTTATTTTTTATATTCTTTAACAGAAAGCAAGAAAGCATTGGAATGGTCCTTTCAACATTTTCACTATCCTCCCAAGATGAAAACTAGGTGGATGGGCATATATGAACACTAGTGTGTTTGAAATAAGTTTGCAGTATGGCATAGATATTGTGGCACATATGGGGGAACTATAGTAACCTTGTTGAAATAATCATGCTAAAGATGATGATTTCACAATTAAAGTGTAGGGCACAGTCTCAGTCATGCATCACAAATTCTGGCCAAGTGGCTCACACATTGCTAAGCTTACCTCTGTGCTACTTTAGTTGATTGGATGTGTCTAAAACGATGCTCATGTAAATTCCAAAACTTCTCTAGATTGCATCCTTAAGCGTTTTGGTACCATTGGGTTTAGATTGATATATAAATATATTGCACATCAATCTATCTATCTATCTAGTGTTAAAGTTTCTGTTTCCTCCAAAACAACTTGTGATCATACTAACACTTGGATTGTGCATTGTTAGGGCTACTTCCAATAATACAGAATATAAAATGTGGTGAAAGTGTCATACAATCCATGGAAACATTTCAAAAGTTTAAGCAGGATATGGGGAAAGTCTTGGTTGAAGCTTTCATTGATGGTATGTGTTTCAACAGTTTGAAGCTTATTTCATATGTCCTCATCTTTATTTATATGATTTATACAAACCTGTTAACAACTATTTGTAATTGTTATCAACAAACTAAACCTTATTTGAATTTTTTCATAAATATATCTGGTTGATTTTCTTTTCCTGGGATTTTCTTGTGGGGTTGGGTGGATTTTGTTGAGATGTTATATTTTGATTAAATATATCTTCCTAACAAGTAATTGTAGAGTATGAGGACTTTTTACTAACAAAAAAGAGAGAAGTTAAAGTACTTTTTGGTGCTGTTTCCACCGATTTTGTCAATTAGTTTTGGGTATGGGATCCTCTAACTTAACATGGCATTAAAGCAGATAATTTATCTGCTAAGTCCAATATGCCCACACATGCTCCACGTCATGTGTTTGGCTTAGGTCTGGCCACACATGAGGTTACGTGCTGAGGTTATACAAATCCCCCATTGAATCCTCTAAGCCTTGCATCTCAATACATAAAATTTTGGGCCTCTCTTCCCCTTGCCAATTGGTTTTGAATTGGATGCTCCAACTATTACAAGTCGCTTTGCTTGCATCTGTTGTAGATGGTTAGCTCCGTGAGAATTTTTTAGGGTTTGAATATTCAATCTTAAAAGGTATATATGATTGATTCATCATAAACAGTTCTGAAGAAAACTGTCTTCCCAATTGCAATAGTTGCTGTGAAGACCTTGTGTAACTATAGCTAAATTAACAGAAAAGTTTAATAATCTGCTTGATGGGATTTTTTAAATTGGGAAATTACTGCTTCGAGGAGGTCAATATGATCTGTTTAAAATACTGAAGAAATCATATGATTTCATGTAAAGTCTTTTCTTAATCTCTTTGTCTCTGGAAACTTTTCAAACTGATGTTGGATGTAAAGAGAATTCGTCCAATACAAGTATTTGGAGCTGAGGTAGATTTCTGAACTCTTGGTAGTCTTATATTGTTGAGCATACATATGATGATGCAGATTACTGAGTTTTTTTAGTCAGTCCCCAAATGGAGTTCATGGGCTTCTCTTGTTAATCACTTCAATGTAGTTGGTTTTCCTTATATTTCCCCTTCAACTTTCAGCTAGCAATAATGTAAGATTCTTATTAAATGGATTATATCCAATTTCTATTTCTTCCTTTTTGTTAAAATCCAACTTTGCATGTTGCACAGGATGGGTCCAAAAGCGCTTGATAAAACTGTACACTGATTGCTGCTACAAGTTATCTGAGACACCTAATATGAAATTGCTTAAGAAACTGTATGATCTGGAGGTAAGACTGGAGGCAATCTAGTGAGGACATCTTTGTTCTGTATTCCACAACCTATTGTAGGATGATTATTACATATTCTCTCATTGAGGCTTGAATATATCTTCTGATTTTGGTTCTTTTTTTGTCTACCAGTTTTCAGATGATGAAGTTACTGTGTCTGAATGTGAATTGCAAGATTTATCAATAGCTCCATTGTTGAATGCCCTGTATGCCCACAAAACATTTGCAATGCTGGACCTTTCTCACAATTTGTTAGGTAATTTTTTATTGACATTTTCAAGTGTTGCTTCTGGACTAGAAAGTGTGTTAGCCTTTCTCTTTGATATGCTACTACTAGACTGGACCCTCTTTAGTTCTTGCCTATATAAAAAATTAGTCCGGGAAATTTTGGGTAGTGTTAACTGTTTTTTGGTTCGGTATTACCCAGGGAATGGTACAATGGAGAAACTGCAGCATGTTCTCACATCATCAGGCCAAAATTATGGTGGGTTAACGTTGGATTTGCACAGCAACCTATTTGGTCCAACTTCTTTGTTTCAGGTTTGTAACCAACTTAGCAAGAATTTTCATGTTAAAGCTTAAGTTGAGTTTTTTTGGAAGATTTACCCTACATGTTTTTCCCAAGTAGGGTTCTCTCGCTTTTGTTTGATGCTACAAGGATTTATTGTGCATTAATTGAGATAAGTGGGTTAAACTTGACTTTGCATTTCTAATATCCTGTGAGGTGGAACAAAGGTATTACCTTTTCTTTTTTGGCCTGAACAACAATGGTACTACTAGACCTCACGGTAAAAGTTAGAACATAGGAAATTTAGAGTGTTAAGTTTTTTAGATTAATGGTATCAAAGCAGGAGATCTTGAGTTCATATCTTTGTAATGATAACCTCCTAAACTCCTAAATTCCTTTTGGTAGGGAGAGGCAGACATGTAGAAGGAGTATTAGAATGTAAATTATTACCCTACATCCTAAGTTGTGAAAAATGGTAAACCAATAAATTTCTCTGGAACTAGTTAATGACTGAAATTCCTTTTATCATATTGAGAAAGCTAGAACCACTTCTAGGGTGTCCCACTCTCTTTAAAGTTTCTTAATTAAAGGTTGTACATAAGAACTATTATTTTGGCATTTTAAAATTTTCCAAGTCAGTGCCCACTTTTTCAAATAAACCCTTTCTACATAATATTCTATCTAATTACTAGTTATCTGGGACAATTGACGAAGAAACACGTAAGATTAATAAAAATTGCACACATGTTTGGTGCATGTGAAGGAGCCATGTAACTGTAAGTATTTCAAGATGCCAGTTTGATGTTGAGGCCATCAGTTTTAGTAGCCTACTGGTTCTTTCATGTCTGAACTTTCCAGAGGAGGAGGTACTTGTCCAAGTCCAGCCTATGTAATTTGAGGAACTAGAGAGGGGCATGCTAACCCCCATTATCTTTCCTATTGTCTCTATTGATTGAAAATTTAGAAGAAAAAAAGAAGATAATTCTCACGATATCAAGGTATTTGTGAACGTGGATTTTGTAGTTTTATATTTAATGATGATAAATTGTAGTCATGAGTGGCATATTAAATTTGTTGTTAGCAGGGCAACAGTAGGGCCTTTCTGTATGTATAATAAGCTCACTATAAGTCTATAACCATTAGTGTGTCAATCTGTAGATTTGTGAATGCCCTTTGCTATTTTCTCGATTGGAAGTGCTCAATATCTCTGGAAACCGTCTCACTGATGCATGTGCCTCTTACCTTTCAACTATCTTGGAAAATTGCAAGGGTAAAGTGCTTTCCTTGAAGCTCAACTATTTAGAATTTTGGTTGCTGTTTCGTATCTATTATTAGTAGCATATGTGCTTCTTGCTAAATTTAATTCTTTTAACACAATTTGTTCAAAATAAGGCTTAAACGTCTCCATGTTTCTACTCTACTTATGTGGTATTCACTTGTAGCTCTTTGCAGCTTGAGTATAGAGCGGTGTTCTATCACATCTAGAACAATTCAGAAGGTTTCTGATGCATTGAATGCTTCTTCTGTGCTCGAGCAACTTTGTATAGGTATGCTTGACTTATCGTATTGGCAATCAGTATTATTCCGTGGACTCTTTATTTTCATTTAATATGTTTTCTCAATTCCTCTCCTTCCACAGGACATAACAACCCAATTTCTGGAAGTACCATCACTGATTTACTTTCCAAGCTTGGCACTCTGAAAAGGTTTAGATTGAATTAAGTAGTCACTCTTTCCTTTTGAAAGCATAGGTAACAGATATCCACTGACTGGTCTAAATATACAAATTACTTTCTCTAATGTAGATTTTCAAAATTAAATCTGAATGGTTTGAAGCTAAGCAAGTCTGTAGTTGATAGCCTTTGCCAGCTTGCTGCAACCTTGCCCTTCTCAGTATTAAGTCTTGGGGAAACTGGTATTGGAATTGTGAGTGCTCTCATTTTTCATAACTTACTGTTGTTGGACTTAATTCACTAGTCATATTCTCCTGTTCTTTTCTTTCAATTATTTATTTATTTATTTATTGTTTTGCAGGATGGGGCATTAAGATTAACCGAGTCATTGTTCAATGGAACTGCAGAGTTTCTAAAATTTGACTTATCATATTGTGGCGTGACATCTAATTACGTTCTCAAACTAAGCACTGTTTCTTCTATGATTTGTGGCATTCTTGAGCTGAACCTTTCCGGAAATCCTATTATGCAGGAGGTTTGTTCTTTTAACTCGGGATTTTGCTAATAGTTAAACTTGTTATGCTTGTCTTTTTGCAACTAGTAACCATTCTGGGTAGTGTGTGTGATGAGTATGCTATACCATTAAGCTCTTTCTGCCAGCTACGATGTCTGAAAATGGCAGTAGTATGATGAGTATCAGAGATGACCATCTTAATCAATAACAGTAAAAGATGACTCTGTTTTACAGCTTGAATACCAAACAGTTTGAGTCTAAAAGATGTTTGTATTAACTTGTCTCAGTCTAAAACTGATCTAAATCGTTCAAATTTAAAATTACATGTAAATATGTAGCCCTGATATTCCTGAGGTTGTTTAGTTGAACCTAAATGAGATTATTTTGTCATTGACCCTCTCCTAGCCCAGTGGTGTCAGGTTCAAACCTCCATGGCACCTTGGTAGTTTGTGTGAGAGAAATCCCCTTCCCTTGTAGTTTAGACTATCGCTCATACAAAAACAACAACAACAACCAAACAAAACCCTCTTTTTTATACATTGTTGGCTAATGGCACCATCTATACATTTGCTTGGTCCTTCCACTTTGTTTGTGTCACTTTTGGCATGAAATGCATTCCTCACCATGTATTCATTGAGTTTCATCATACATGGCCAAATCCTTCTAATCGGCTTTATCTAATATCATTCATAGATGGGACATCTTTACCTTCAGAGCAGTTTCCTTTCCACTTTCCCCTGTAATCATCTATCTTGATAGTTTTAATCTACGTTCCCTTTTCTCCCCTTTGATATGCCGAGAACGGTATATGGAACCCTGCAATAATTACTGAAGTTCCATTCACAGGGTTGAACTAGCAAGTTGAGGGATCTGTTTGTGATTGTACATATCTGATGTAATTTAGAACAGATTTGTTCATATCTGCATACTTGCATCTTCTGTACACTTTATGGTTGCTTGCAGCCCTTGAAGTCTCTGGTGGTCTACCTTTGTCTTTTAGTACCACCAGTAAATTCCAGATGGAATTTGACATGGTGTTCAGTTAAATGTGAATGTAATGGCTATATATATGGCTATGTATTCAAAATTTGAATATTCATAACATAATCTATCAGTCAGAAAATCCTGATTACCATTCAATGTTCCCTTCTCTCAATAGGTGTTGTCATTTGTCCTTAAGCTAATCTAAGTGCTGTGAGAGAATTTCTGACCTTATTGAAAACAAAAAGTGGCAGTCCATGCTATTCTAATTATTTTAATTTCAGACTTGTTATACTGACCTGATCCAACCATGAACACAGGGTAGCCTTGCATTATCATCAATGCTTTTGAATTCTCAATGTTGTCTGAAACTTTTGGTCCTTCAAAAGTGCCAGCTTGGGACTGCTGGAGTTCTTCGAATAATGCAGGCATTATCAGGTTCACACCACTAAGCCCACTTCAGTTCTAAATATCAGTCCCTCCCTAGAAATGAACTTACAATTTGTTGGTTCGATGTTTTAAGCAGGTAATGGTTTTCTCGAAGAGTTGAATCTAGCTGATAATGCCAATCTTGATAGACAGAACTCTGCTCAACCGGGGTCATGCAATGTGAATGCCGGCTTAGATGGGCTTGAAGTTGATGATAGTGAAGATGATGAAGTAAAAGCTGCTGCATCTGGACTTGATGACAACCACACAAGACCGTGCCAAAGAAATTCCTCATCTTCTGGATGTCAGTTTATTCAAGGGCTTTCAAGTGCCATTGATATGGCAAAGAATTTGCGATTACTGGACCTTAGCAATAATGGTTTCTCCACACAAGACGCAGATATACTGTATTCTTCATGGTCAAGATCAAGATTTGGTTCAGCTCAGAGGCATATAAAGGACCAGATCATCCATTTATTTGTGGAAGGAATCAAGTGTTGCGTGAAACCCTGCTGCAGAAAGGACTAGTTTTCTTGCTGCTACATCTTCATTGAGGGATTTGTAGGGAGGATTTGAGGCTCTTGGGAAGCTTAAGCTATTTTTATTTTATTTATGTGTATATATATTTATATTACCCTTCAATAAGTCCCACTTCCAGCAGACTTTTCTCCAATGAATTTTCTTAATAATATTAAAGTCTTTTAGTTTCGTACCAAACACACCCAGTCTCTTTTTATTTTATTTTTTTATTTACATGATATAGTGGATAATTGGTTTTTTTTCCTGGTTTTGTTTTACCGACCGATTGATCAAACCTCAGAAGATGAAAAGAGTAATGCTACTCTTACCACATTTGTATATTACATTCTCATACCATCTTATGTGGCAGATGAATTGGACAATCACATAAATTAAAAAGTCAATAAATCATAAAATAAAAGAAAATGTTAAATTAATTAAATTAATGTGGTTGTCTATCTCATTTGCTATATAAGGTGGTATGAGAATGTGGTATACAAAATGTGGTCAGAGTAGCATTTTGGTGTACTCACAAGCGCTTTTATAGGCCCAAGTCCTCTTGCTCATGCATTTGTTTTGCATGTCGTAGAGAAAGCGTTAATGCATCAATGGAATCAATGACAATGAGTTTCACAGGTAACTGGGTGTGATCAATGGCAATAAATGCTTGTATGTCTCGAAGGACATGGATGAGTTGTTGAGTATCATGAACGCCATGAACATATATGTCTTCCAATGGCTCCATCCCTATTAAGTTGGGGTATGATGCATGATAAAGGTTGCCTAGTTGTTGCAATCGACGAAATGAGAAGCTGAATTCTGTGAATATGTAGAAGGAGGAGCCCCCTAGTCTGCCATGTGAGGGTGGGAGCTGAGCTCTAACCGTAAGTTGGAGACAAAGTTGCGTCTTTTCGGAACTGCTCTCCCCTACCAATTCTGTTATGGAGTTGTAGGGTATCCCACCACCCAAGCAGCCATCTAGTATTGGGCATCCAATGGATAATTTAGGGGTTGAAAGAGGAAGGAGCATGAGGTTTTGTGGTGTCATGTTTCTGTAATTTAGGGGGAGATGTGATGGTGATGCAAGACATGAATTGTATATATAGAGTCCATATTGAAGGTGTGTAATGTAGGCCATATGTCTTTTAAGGGATGTATACTTCATCCCTTTTCCAATTTTAATTAAATTTTGGTTTATTTTTTGTCTAAGATATTTTAAAAAACATGCTGATGCATTACCTACAGCAACAGGACCGTATTGTACTCTTATTGACATCATATTGCCATTATACGCATGCTTATTGTGGAGTTATTGGCGCTATATCGCCACTGAACTAGACACGGATAAATTGTATAAGCAGAAATACAAAAAGAGGCATCATAATTCTATGAAATCTAATTTCGAAACTTACATAATACAACAAGAGGCCACCCCATAGTTACATAATACAAAAAGATGCTACCTGAACATGATTCCATTTTGCATGTTGTTTATACTACATTTTACAGCCAGTCCAAAGTCATATTAAAGTATCACAAGTTTCCTGCTGTTGACACATTCGAAGTTGCATACTCTTCAATTGTAGCGACCGCGACCCATGAAATTTATGACCCACCCCACAGTGATGTTGTCCCAGTTTCCTTCTAGATCCACAATTTTTGCAAACTGACGAAATAGTTCGCATTCTGATTCCACTTGTTGTTGCTTCAACTGGGCAATTTTATTAGATTCCTTTAATACCATAATTGCAGTGGCAGAGGCAATTTCAATTTTTGCTTTCATACCCATTATATAGAGGAGATGCATGGGAGCATGATAACGAGAGCGAATTGTGTGCTTTTTTATGACACCCCACCTAGCTTGGCCCTCCGCAATTTTTGAAACTATGTTTGCATGAAGATTTTTCCAAAACATGGTATTGCCTTGACATTGCTGCATGCCATGGACCAAGTTTGCAGTGAGTGAATTGGGTGACTTGGCTTGTGTTTCAATCTCCCTTCCTTTAGCAATTGAAAGCGTTGGGTTTGGTGTGAGGTTATGGTCCATGATTTTCGATATTTATTGTAGGATGGTGTAGGACTTAATTGGAGAAAAGTGGGACTAAATGCGATGTGAGTGAAATCAGTGGGGAAGGTATTGGTTGCAAGGAGTTAATGTCATGGAAGTTTTCCCTTCATTCAACTGGGTTGATTAATATAGGCAGGTATTAATGATCTGGAGTAAATCATAGAGTAATTGGTGGGAGGTATTGGGGGGAGTAATTGGCGGGAGGGATTGGTGGGAGTCTTGGGCGGGATAGTATTGGGCGGCAATTAATACCCAGTTGGCTATATGCATTTTTTAAAATATATTTCTATTTTGAATTTTCCGAATTTGGTAAATTTCCCATTATGTAATTGAAATAATTTGCCTAATTTGCCTAATTCACCAACTAATTCAAATTATCTAATATGGTAATTTTCTTGTTTCCCATTTCCGCAATTTCAATTCGTTTCCAATTTTCCATTTTTCCATTTTTCCAATTTTCCAATTTTCCCAATTTTCCAAGTTTCCTATTTTCCATTTCCCTATTTTCCTAGTTTGCAATTTTCCTTTTTTCCTATTTCCAAAATTCCTATTTTCCAAGTTTCCATTTTTCCTATTTCCACTTTTCCTATTTTCCAATTTTCTAATTTTCCAAGTTTCCTATTTCCAATTTTCCACTTTTCCAATTTTCCAAGTTTCCTTTTTTCTTATTTCCAATTTTCCAATTTTGCAAGTTTCCTTTTTTCCTATTTCCATTTTTCCAATTTTCCAAGTTTCCTTTTTTCCTTTTTCCAATTTTCCACTTTTCCAATTTTCCAATTTTGCAAGTTTCCTTTTTTCCTATTTCCAAGTTTCCTTTTTTCCTATTTCCAAGTTTCCTTTTTTTCCTATTGCCATTTTTCCTATTTTCCCAATTTTTCAAGTTTCCAATTTTCCCATTTTCCAAGTTTCGTTTTTTCCTATTTCCAATTTTCCTATTTTCCAAGTTTCCTTTTTTTCCAATTTTCCAGTTTTCATATTTTCCAAGTTTCCTTTTTTCCATTTTCCTGTTTTCCTATTTTCCAATTTCCGTATTTTCCCCAATTTCCTTTGTTCCAATTTCCGTTTTTCAAATTCCCAATAATTGCTTAGTTACATAGTCCTTTTTTGGCCTGAAATAAACAATTTCCATTTTCTCATTAAGGTTTGGTTTTTTTTTCGTTTGTAAGGCAATTTTGTTGTTGTTATTGTAATGCTCTACTGCTCTAAATGACAGCCAAGTAGTAAATGGTGTAGCTTGCAATCCCATCAATTTAATGCACCAACTAAATACTCAAATACTTCAGACAAGTTCCTACATATAACTGAAGCTTCCTACCATTTCTACAGCATAGGCACCTTTTTAACAGGAAAGATAATTATTCTTGCTGTTAATGTTGTTTACAAGTGTTCATAACATCAAACTGGAGACTAAATTTACCTTTATTTGTTTTTATGCAATCTGTAGCTGTGAATTATCCCCAGTGATACTTAAAGATGTCGAATGTACGCCCTTCAAACGAGCATGTCAGTTACCTGGGAGACCAGCCGTGGCATGTGCCGTTCCCATCTCCACCTATGACTCCCAATCACGATCCCACTTCATCTGGAAGTGAGGCTGAGAGCAATGATGCACTTGACAAAATCTATGCCATCAAGCACGACCTCCAATATTTGTCTGAGGCAACAGATTGGTGGGAGAGCAAATGTGATATTCAATGCCAAGTTATGGGAAGCTTGGCCAACAAGTTGAACAAAGCACATGCTGGAGAAGTGAAGCAAACTCTAAAAGCAATAAGTCAGAGCAAAGAGTTAGAGTCCCTCAAGTTAAAATTGGAAGAGACAAAGAAATATGTTGTCCAACAATTCACAAAATCAGAAGAATATGACCATGAAATGGTTGAATGTTTCAACAACGGTTTCGAGATGTTCTGAGATTTTCCTTCGGTAATCTCACCAGACTGCAATTGGAATGAAATTGATGTAGCTGGTGTCTGGCAGGTGCTGAATATGGGTGGAGAGGGAATGAGTCATCATAGCCTCGTGCATGCAGCGAGGATGAAGGCCAAAGACATAGCCTCGTGTATATTGAGATACTATGGCTACCATATTGCTGTTATATCGCCCTAATATTGCCACTATATTGGATGTATATTGGCCTAATATTGCCACTATATTGGATGTATATTGGCCTAATATTGCTATTATATTGTATGTATATTGACTAGGGCTCATCAATGGGTTTAGGGTTTAGGCCCTACTTCATTCGAAAAGAAGAAGAAGAGGAGAAAGAAACAACGTGCCTTTCAAGAAGAGGCACTCAGGTGCATCATAATTACACCGTAAGACATTGTAAGAAATAATTTTAAAAAATAATAACTATTAAAAATTATTTACAAAAAAAGGAAGGTATGAATAAATATGCAAATGCTTGGTGATGGGCTGAAAAAAAGCAGGATTACATTTGGTGGTATGATTATGTTTGGTGATACAATATGTTGTTCGTCTTAATCTTCATATATGTAATTGTTGTATCAATAATTGACACAAATTCATTCGTAATCATCCAATTATTAACTGGTAATGAGTAAAGCTAAGTAAATTAAATGAAACAAAAGAAGAAGCCCAAAATTAACACAAACAACAATTTTTAGCACCCTACTGTATCACCAAGGTAGCACCAGTTTATTGCGTTTTAGGTAGAAAAGAATTATGCACTTCCTCTGTTTTTCAGTTTTGACATATGTCCATCTTTTGACCTTTAACTTGTCAACCCATTACGAAAATTTTGTGTTCTACATATGGTTGGATTGAGCACAGAAAAATGAAGAAAACTACACAGACCAAATGTCAAAAATGGATACAAAAATGAGTAGAATTCAGTGAAAACGAACACGTCGTTTCAAACAAGTTAACTTTTATACATTCATAAAGAGCAAGTATGTCTATATATCGAGGTGTACGAAATAGTTCCACTCCACAATGTAAAGAATAAGTATGCTAAGCACGACGGCAACTCGAAAACAAAACCCCAAAATGGAAATAGTTCATTTGCCATGTAAGGCAATTAGCCACCGCCATCGACTGTACAATATTACACTTCACCATGTACAACAGGGCCGAAGACTCGGGAAATGAGTTCACCTTGCTACATACCAAATAGCTGTATCAAAATAGTTGGATCGCCATATAAAGCACCTCCAGCAGAGCTTCGATGTCTGCATCTTCATATAAAGCAGTTCTTGATATAATTAAGGAGCACAGTGAATTCCCAAGTCATAAGTGAATACTGAACTCAATTCACAGACATTATGACATTTACCTCATATATATGCCTCCCCCTTAAAGCCTTTATCGCAAGCTTACGTCGGTAATATGTGATCTTCGAAGGGTCAACTTTATTCAACGAAATGCCGGCACTGAGATGCTCAATGAATTTGACTGTCATGATTCTGCAAGAGGTACTGTCGGGACAATAAGTTCAGAAATTAGAACTGCAGTTATGTACAATATCGATAAACTACATTAAATTCATATAGCTTACCCATCACGTTGTTGTGGCACATCTCCAATGTTGCAAACTGTGAATGGCGTAAACGTGGACATCTTCATCCCCTTTTGCTTAACCTCTTCACCATCAGAAGCGCCATCAAAGTGCATATCATACAGCACCCGTGCTAGAGTATCGCTAATAAGGTGCAAATATTTGACCAGCTTCAAAGTTGAGGTAAAAGCAAGGTAGGAGTCATACACAGTTGCAGTATGTCTCACGAAGTCAATTTGGATTGCAACCCAATGGGACCCTTAAAGATTATATGGAAAATAGACCTTCCGGACTTTGGTCCAAGCTTGCCCATACCCGTGTTGCCATGTACCGTGCACATAGTGATGTATATTCTTCAGGTTGTTAGTTGGAAGGTCAACGTTGTTTGAAGCAGCTGCCTTGTTTGATCCTCGTTTCTTGGTAGGCCCTTTGACTGACTCTAGAAATTGCTGCAAACATTGAAATTAAGGCATATTACATAATGACAAACCAATGCAACTGAAGTAGTGAATGTAACATGTTAACATGTTTACCAGCAAGCAATAATCAGTCATTGTCTAGTGAGTTCTAAATAGCAACGGATGAGAGAGTTGCTTTTTCTGGATGAGAAAGGTCGCCATGTCAAGGTGCTGGAAGTTGACGTATATAATATGAGCACAATTTCATACAAATATACACTTAACAAAGGTGAGAAAACAATTGAATTATCCTGATGAAGTAGAGTTAAAATTCTTACCTTTGAGCTAATCCATTTCGTATCATTGATAAGTTTGTAGAAAAACTCAGGGCCTACTGAACATGATTCTATCTGCATCTCCGCACTACAATAGGCAAACTTCCAACAATGAATTTTGTACTCATTTAATAATTGTGACATTGTAAAATATGACAAATACACACATGTATATTAAATGTAGCTACATTTTCTTATTGGTATATCACTGCATACTACAATAACATGAAGATTGGATTTCCAAGGTAAAGAATCCTAACCTTATATTGTTTTTCCAGGCACTGTAAAACTCTATTATTGCCTTGAAATCTTCAATGGGCAGGGGTTTAGTTGGATCAAAACATGGTGGGGTTGCCTCCGCATCTGAAACACTCATCGTCCTCTTCTACCTCGAAGGATCGGTAAATGGACTCAACAATGTCTGGGCCGGTCGCTTCTTTCTGCACCCTTTACCTTCCACCTCTTGTTTTTCAACAGCCGCACTACCTTTGTCATCACCAGGCACAATAACTTTGGGTATTATTGGAGGATTCATCTGACCTTCCGATGGCATAATGTTGCTCTTTTTCCAATCCTCTAACAAAAACAATAGTTTTTTTTGCAGATTTCTCTACACCCGTCCCCATCTTCCGGAGCAGGAAGCTTATCAGATTCTGGATGCTAAGCTTCTTGCTGCTCTTGCATGCAATGAACTGAAGCGCTCATTTCTGCCTTTGGACTTCCATGGCTGCGCAGGCTTCGGCTCCATCACCTGGGGACTTGTGCTTTTACTGCTGTCGGTTCTGTAGTCAAAGCAACATATTCATGTAAGGGCGACATGTCATTGTCGCCTCCTTCATTCATATGAGGACTACCAAGGTCCTCATGTCTTTCCCCACGTTCATTCAACCCACCATTTCGTTTCTTCAACTGCTACATCTCCAGCTAAAAATAGTGTTTGATTGAAGCAAGGGTCTTGCCAAAATCCTCCACACACTTTTTATTTTTTTTTCAGACTCCTTTTCAAGTTTCAACGACTCCTTCCGTATCATTTTTTCCAAGTCATGCACTCTGTTTCGAAGCGCTCGATTTGAACTGGCTACCTTGGCCAATTCATCCTTTGTCCATTGAAAGTCACGCGTCAAAGTGCGTAACTCAGTGGACGGTACTTTACCCTGCATCCAGTTATAATGCAACTATTACAATACTTACAAAATATAACCCAAATACAACTACTATTTTGCTATTGTATTGCCTATATATTGACTATATATTGATTATATAGCAGCGCAATTAAGTTTATTATGACGGATATATTGCAAAAAGGTCATGCTTTCCTTAGAAGATGACGGAAGGGTATCAGTTGCGTCAAAATCATCATTTTTTCTTCAACAGAAGCAGAAGTGTTGGTTTTTTCTTTGGCGTCATCGCCAAACAACTCAACAATTTCTTCAATGTCGTCAATACTGTCACCCCAAGTCTAATAGGGCTGCTGCTTGTCAATTACACTTGGGCGGAGAAGTTGCACATCAACCTGCAATTTACACATACAAAATACATATAAGTAAACTTATTATATTTTCATATGCATAACATTATCATTAAAAACATAACTAACCTCATGGTTCTCGAATACTTGGCTCATTAGATTATGAAAACGAGCCGAAGTATTGCTCCTCCATTGTAGTATACGAGGGATGCGGGCATTCTCTTCATGCACATTGTGACACACACAAAGGGTTCCTATAGATCACTCGGACATCTATTAATTTCGTTTTTAGCAGCTAGTAATTGTGAAACATGTTATAGAATAATTTACTCCCCCAAAAAAAAAAAAAAAAAAAAAAAAAAAAAAAAAAAAAAAATCAATCTCTCTCATGTAACACAAACAAAAAACTGAAACTAGAATAAAGGAAAAAATAACAACACAATATAACCTTTTTTTTTCCCCTTTGAATTTAGCTCCATCTTTGGCAACTAACTCTTAGTTTAATCAAGGGCCGGTCTTGAGATTTTAAGGTACCTGTGTGAATTTTAATTTAAACTAGAGCACTTACATAATCTAACACAAACTTACACCATTATTACTTAATGTCATACAACAATTTTTTTAGAATACAAATCATTATCAATTAGCATGCAAATCGTAAATAAAATTTATAATATTTAATATGAGAAACTTAAATACCAACAACTCAAATAAAATTTAAAAATATTTTAAAGTTTCAATATTTATATATAAGGGAGATTCACTAATATACCCAATATAGGAGCCCAAATTATAAAAAAACCCTATATGAAATGGAATTTATAAACACACCCAAAACCCATTTATAACATAACAAAAAGGCTTTTAACTTCTTTTAAATTACAAAATTGTCATTGATTTCTTAAAACAAACCCAATCCAAAATTTCATAAAAAAAGCCCAAAACACTCAATAGGGTATCAAAGTAATTTAATAATTAAAATTAAATTTAATAGTACCATTTGTCATTTTTTGGGTTTTTTTTGGGTATGTTTATAAAAATGAAATGATGTAGGGTTTATTTATAGTTTTAGTGCTAAGAATGGGTATATTACTAAATATCTCTATATATAAACTGTCAAATATATATGAACTATATGCAATGCTCGTCATCATATATAACTAATCAACATGATAATGAAGTAAGTCATTTAGTATATATAAATTGAAATTTATATTTAAATCTGACTAATTAATTTTGAGCGACATTTATGAATTTAGGAATTAGAGTTTTCGATTTTTGGTGTTGAAATTCTTGAAATTGAGAAAAAAAATTTGTTAAAGGATTGAAAAAGAGAGTCAAAAGAGAGAGATTGGTGATGATTATTACTTACTAAAAAATAACATGTTTGCCATTTTTCTTTTTCTTTTTCAAAGTGTTGTTGTTACAAAAAATAAAATGAAACAAAAGTAAAAGTAAAATATTGATCTACACAAGCTAGTTTTGAACCCACGCCCTAAAAAGAAATTAAAGCCATGCAAACCAACACAACCAGAAACATCTTTTTGGGCCTTAAAAAATTGGGGTCCTGTGCGATGGCACCACTTACACACCCTCAGAGCCACCTTTGAGCTTAATGGTATTTTTCTTTCCGGTGTTAAAACTGATTTCAAGTTTGAATTCCCTCTCTCCTGATTTTTTTAAGAAAAAAGAAAAAGAAAAAAGGAGATACTTAGGTTCATCTTTTCTTAATCATCCCATAGTTCCTGCTAATTAAGTATCATGTTTTTCTCGATCGTGCCAATGTTTATATACTAAAAATGTATTTGAATAATACAAGTGTGCATGGAATGGAGAACCCCTCATGATATGTATTGAAGAAATTCATGATGTTCTAATATAAGAAATACTAGTATAGAAGAATATAGTGTAGTAGTGCATAGCAAAGTGGATAAGTTCACCACCAAATAAATAGTTCCCCGGGTGTTACCTCCACATCACAATCAGACAGATCATACTCTGCATGCCAATCCCTCCCATTATATACACATATTCCCCAGTCAGCTTCTGCTCAGCTTTGACCCGTCTTGGTTGAAAACCTACCCACTTAATGTACAACGATGACATACCATTAACTCAATTTGGCCAAATGTCCTTCCTTCCTATCATCTATCAACACAACACACGACTTGCATGTATTTCCTCCATTCCACGTCTACTTGCATGCATTTCCATGTGTTTCAACTCCCAAGCTTCCCGATATCAACAATGCGCCAAAAACCAAAATTAAACTGACCCAACGTATATATCATGGTTTTTGTGACACGAAGCTTTGCTAATTACGAGAGAAATGTTAACGGCACTTGCTTAAAAAAAGAATAGTTTTATGACCTTTCTTATTTAGAAGGGTAATAATATATTAAATTCATACATATACACTATATGGACAAGGCCGGTCTTGAGATTTTGAGGGCCCTATGCTAACCTTAAATTAGGGCCTCACATAAGCTAACACAAACTTACACCATTACGTAATGTCATACAATAAATGTTTTTTTTTTTCTTAAAGTGATCAAAGTACCCCTACTCCCAATGGCAAAATTGAAATTTCACAAAAGAATTAAATTTGATTAAATCAATTAAATTGTATCAAGGATGTTACACCTTTTGAATAATCACCATAATTGTGATGATGAGTCTTTGTCGTAATAGATCATATTCAGATATTAAATATTTTTAACACCCAATTTATTTGTATCAATATTCCAAGAACATCATTAATTGGATGCGACTTTTTTGGTTGAGTTAGTTGGATGCATTATTTTTGCAAAATTAAATATCTTTTTAACACCTAATTTATTTTGTATCAATATTCCAAGAACATCATTAATTGGATGCAACTTTTTTGGTTGAGTTAGGTTTTTTATTTATGATAAGCGATAGAATATTATTGATGTAGAAAAGGTAATACAAGAAATTTGAACTCATATCAAGGGCAAAGGAAAAGTCCTTGGTCACGAATTGCAATCTTTGTACAGTACATCAGAAATAAAATCAGGAGGTTCCTCAAACCAGTATAGAGACCCCCTGATATGCAAGGCAAACTGCGCTAAACGATGAGCCACACCATTAGTAGTACAACGAATAAGGGTAAAACCTTCCCCAGTGATCTGTGTCAGCAAGCTCTTGGTATCCTCCACCACAGGTCCTATGACGGACCTATCTATGGAGTGACTTCGAAGTGCTGTAACGATCTGGAGAGCATCACTATCAAAGATAGTTGGATGCATTATTTTAGCAAAATTAAATATCTGAGCATATATAAAAACAATCATGTACCACTTTACTAACTACTTTTTTAATTGAGGTGAGCCCTATATATGGAAGTCTTATCTATATGGGCACTTGAAAAAAAAAATCTACATGAGCAATTGAAGAGCTAGCTTCAAGTCAATGATGGGGACGTACACACGTGACAAGCAATGTTTGCACATAGGAATATAGATATTATTAGGGCAATTAGTACTTGCTGAAGAATATATATATATATATATATATATAAATATAGTGCCATGCATGCAGTTGAGAGATTCAGTGTCATCATTTGAGGAATGAGGTGCTTAGTCGTTGGATTTATTTTAATGAAATCATGTGGTTGAGATTGATTTAAGTGTTTAAACTTGTTTGTGTCTAATTACTTGCCAAAAACCCACTTTTATTTATTGATATATGGATGGGCGAAATGGTTAATATTTCCCACTTTTATGATATAATATCAATAAATATCCACTTAATATTCTAACAAACAAGTCATACCATGTGACATACTCTCATACTACGTACACTATAATTACTCGCACTTAAAGCATCCACAATGGGGTCCCTAACCCACCTCATTAAACAAATGTTAGGGAGGAATTGGAAAAATACAACTCCAACAATGCTCCCTATTCACCTCCTAAAATAGAGAGACCTCTAGGAACTCCTAAATTTGAGGAGAGAGAAAGAACTCCTAGTGGTTCCTTATAATTTAATTATTCACCTCCTAAAATAGAGAGACCTCTAAGAACTCCTAAATTTGAGGAGAGAGAAAGAACTCCTAGTGGTTCCTTATAATTTAATGATGTTTCGTTTTATGCATAGTTTAAACTTTTAATTAATACTTTTTTTTTTTTTTTTTTTTTTTTTTTTTTTTATAGATGATAACCTAATTATATTGAATTAAAAAATAACTATAGTGTTTATGACTTCCTAACTTAGGGAGTATGATTGGAGTTCAAATTTTATAGAGTTCCTAAAATAACTTTTGTGTGTTTTTAGCTAAATTTTAACTAAATAATAGGGAGCATGACCTTTGCCTACATAATTATTAACTAATTCCTTGTGATCGGGTATTTATTATTTCAGTATGTGGTTGTGAAAGGTGCTCGGATATTGAATGTTGGTGTTGACATTGGACAAGCTGCTTTAAACAGTGGTTGCAACATTATGTGATTGACAGACAGCAGAACAGTTTTTATCTTTCAATGAAAACAATAAGTTTAAAAAAAAAACCAAAATTTTAATTTGACCCTAATTGTCATTATCAGGGATGACCCTAATTGTCATATGAGGGTGTGCAAGTGGTGCCACCGCATAGGGCCCCTGATTTTTGAGGGGCCCCAATTTTTTTTGTGTGTATATAATATATGTTTAACAAATGTTATATATATACCGAGTGAGCAAATTGTTGACACAAAGACGTTCCTAGTTGTGTTGGTTTGTAGAGCCTCAACTTTTTTTCAGGGTGCGACTTCAAAACTCGCTTGTGTTAAAGGCTTGTCCGATGTCAACACCAACATTCAATATGCCAGCTACTTTCGCAACCACAAACTGAAATAATAAATACCCTAAACCCTATGCTCAGATATTCAATTTTGCAAAAAATAATGCATCCAACTAACTCAACAAAATAATTGCATCGAATTAATGATGTTCCTAGAATATTGATACAAAATAAATTAGGTGTTAAAAAATATTTAATATCTGAATATGATCTATGATGACAAAGACTCATTGTCACAATCATGATGATTATTCAAAATGTGTAACATCCCTGACCCAATTTAATTCTTTTGTGAAATTTCAATTTTGTCGGGGAGTAGGGGTACTTTGGTCACTTTAAGAAAAAAAAACATTTATTGTATGACATTACGTAATGGTGTAAGTTTGTGTTAGCTTATGTGAGGCCCCCAATTTTAAGGTTCGCACAGGGCCTTCAAAATCTCAAGACCGGCCCTGGTCATTATGGTGGTTTTGCTGCTAGCTAGGTCACATTTGCATATGACTCTATTCTTTAAAGAAATTTTACTGGTCCTATACGTAATAAATTTTCAACTATAATTTTTATTCTACTTTTTGCAATTTGATCTTTTTTATTTTATTTTTGTCATTCGATAGGGAGGGAAATGGGAGAGTATTATATTGGGTTGCCTCAAAATTGTCTTTTACGTGAATCGAACTCGGGTGCACAATACTAGGAATCGAACCCATGACCTTTCATGGGAGAGCAATTACTCCTAACCATTACATTGTACTAGTGGGTTTTTTGCATGGCATTTGTTTATATATATTTACTGTGTCACTTTATGATTTTGACTCAAGAATTAATATTAAGTTTAGTTAAGTTTTGGCTGGAGAATGGTATCTCATGTCTTGTGGATTGGATTTGTTCTGACCCTAGTTGCTTAATTGAATAAATTCTCCTCTTGATAAACAAAAAGGATGTATTCAAAATGAGTTTGGCTGCTGAATTATGTACAATTTAAAACTGAACTATACTTCTTAATGAAATGTCGGTTAAGTACATCAAGTAAAGGAGCCATCTTCTATTATGTTCAATTGTGTACTCGAAACATCACATATACAATGTATGTGATGAAAATTACTGCACAGAGAGAGAAAAAAGTAGGCCGTCAAATACAGAATATAAATGTGTAATTAAATGACTATATTATGCAAAATAGCTTCATTTAATCTTAATTTACACTTTGACCAAAAAAATATCTTAACTCGCACCCTCTTGCTAATTCAGATATATATATTTTTTAATACAAACGTTAGTCTAAATTATCTTCGACCTCGTTGGCAATACAGATAACTATTAAATGGTTTATTTTTTTATTTGGAAGGAATATTCGAATTGTTAATTATGATAGTAGGTATATTAATCGTGTGTGTCATTTTTAGCACTAATAATAATATTTATTTTGTTACATATCTAATTCAACAAACCGACTTTGAAAGTGTGAGATGTATGCGGCGCCTGGACTACGTACACCTCTCTTCCTCACCTGCTTGCTTCGACCGATCTCCTTTAAATAGCGCACATCATCTCTGTCTTTCTTATCCCTTTCCTCTAATTTTAGGAAATCAAACTCCTCCTACTTCTTAATCTCTACTTAATTCTTCTTCTTCTCTCCAATTCCAAAAAATAATAATAATAATAATAATAAACCCAACCCAACAAACATGGCTTCTGATCTCTCCGTCATCCTCCCTCGCGTTCTCATCGTCTCTAGACGTACCCTTCGCAAGAACAAGTTCGTAGATTTTGTGGGTACGCTTCCGATTCCCATAACAACAACAATTCATCTTATTTTTCTGTTTTTATTTAATTTTTTTTCCTAATAATTTGCACTAATTAATGTATGCATAATATATGTGATTTTAGGTGAATACCATCTTGATCTCATAGTAGGCTATGGAGCAGTGCCAGTGATTGTGCCCCGTGTCAATGGGGTCCACATGTTACTGGACAGCTTCGAGCCCATCCATGGAGTTCTGCTCTGTGAAGGAGAAGACATCGACCCATCGCTGTATGAAACAGAGGTGGATGTTTCAGGCCTTTCACCAGAAGAATTGGAAGAAATCAGGAGGCTTCATGCAAGTGACACAGCCATTGACAAAGAAAAAGACTCCATTGAAATGAGGCTGGCCAAGCTTTGCCTTGAAAGGAACATACCCTACTTGGGCATTTGCAGAGGCTCACAAGTCTTGAATGTGGCATGTGGAGGTACCCTTTACCAGGACATAGAGAAAGAGCTCTCGAAAAAACACAATGAAAATTATGAGTTAAAGCCTCAAAATGGGGTTCAAGTTCGACATATTAATTATGATGATTATGATGGGCACAGGCATGTGGTGCAGGTGGTGGAGGAGACCCCTTTGCATCAATGGTTTAAGGAGTCTATGGAGAAAGAGGGGAAGATGGAGATTCGGGTTAATAGTTATCACCATCAGGGTGTTAAGAAATTGGCTCAGAGGTTTGTGCCAATGGCATTTGCACCAGATGGTTTGATTGAAGGGTTTTATGATCCAGATGCTTATAATCCTGAGGAAGGTAAGTTTATAATGGGGCTACAATTTCATCCAGAAAGAATGAGGAGGCCAGATTCAGATGAATTTGATTACCCTGGTTGCCCATCTGCTTATCAGGTCTCTTACCTACTTTTTGCTTTTATTATTTTTATCTGTTGATTGATATGGGATTCTAGAGGTTGATTATTGATTTTATTTTTTCTGGGTTTTTGTAGGAATTTGTGAAGGCAGCAATTGCTTACAAGAACAAGGTTAATAGCTCAACTTCAGTGCCACAACCTTTGAAGCTTGATGGTGAAATGGAGATGAAGAGAAAGAAAATTGTCAGAAGTTTCTCAATTGCAAGAATCATATACAGTGGAGGCCTAGGAAGTGGTTTGCAACCAATCAAGGAATCTGAACTTGAAGCTGGAGCAGAATTCCTTGAGGTTTCTGATAGATTACCAACTGTTTGATATTTTGTTCCAAAGTTTTGCTATTTTTCTTTGGGTCATTTTAATTTGATGGTAATATGTGTTTTTGTCTTATTTCTCTGCAGTCAAACACAGTACTGAGCTTACAGCAGGAGAATAGGCTAAAGCAAATGGGTGCCACAGTGAGAAATGCAGGGTCCTACATAGAGAGATTGAAATTGAATGAGGAGAGAGAAAGGTTGGCAAGGAATGTGATGGGGAAAATGTCAGTTGAGCAATTGTCTGATCTGTCGGCTTTCTACCATATGATGGGGCAAATCTGTTCTGAAGTCTTGGAAAGAAAGCTTCAATGGGATTGTCAATGATATTGGTTCTTGACCATTTCATCCCCTGTTTTTTAGCTGAATATATTTCATGTTTTGAGGTCAAAAGGGTTAGCTAGCTGCTGCTTTGTGCTGAACTCACATGAATCTTGGATGATGGGTTCATGTCTATATCTCCTTTTTACTTGTCTCTCTTGTTTCCTGTTACTTACCCTGAAAAGTTCACTATTTTTTTTCGCTGTTGAATATGAACTAAAGTGTGTAAATTTATGCGTGCATAAGACCTTTACAACCAGTTTTGGAACTTATTAGATATGTAAGTTTCACATGTGCGTTATGTCAACAATTTAACAGATTTTTGAAAGGAAGCTGGATGGAAGTCGACAACTGAGATTAGTTATGAACACAATTGTTAACCTTGAGGATCATTAGTAACAAAAAAAAAACAAAACAAAACAAAAACAAAATGAACTCAAAACTTTATAATTTTGTTAACCTGAAGGATGTTTTGTGATAAAAACACAAAGCATTATTTTACAATCAATGTGGTCCTTACTGTTCTTTACTTTCTGATATATACCTTACTGCTCTTTACTTTTGTATACATACCTTTCTACTTCAGAAATCATGTGCTATAATATATCTCTTGGTTATTTCATTTGATAATACCTTCCTACAATTTTTGAGTACTAGTTGTCCATAATTTCATTTAACATAGATTTGTTTGGGACTGTTGTCATCATCAGAACAACCCTGTTTAAGGGTTGAAGTTTTTCCCAAACAACAAAAAAAAGGTGGAAGCCTGTGGCGGCAGACGGGGGGACTCTAATGGGCTAGGCCTTCCTTCAAGCTCGACCCATTTAAATCAAAACCGAATATTTTGATCGAACTGCACAGCCGCCACTCACCACCACCATTCACAAACCCGTATTAGAGCGATTAACATCCCTGAATAGCCAAGAGAACTGGTGATTCATTTGGTTTAAGAATTCCCCAGAAAACAAAACTGCATACTAGAAAAAACAAATTTGCGCTGTTAAAGAGTTTACTATAAAAAAATTCCCCAGAAATTGAAGAATCGCGTCGATACGAGTCGCAGACTTGCTTTAAAAAAAAGGTAGATATTATGAAGAATCGCGTCGAAATTCAGCTTCATTAAAGCTATATCAAATTGCCAAAGAACCCAGTTAATTTACTCCACAACATATAGAAAACAATAGAGTTCATAAGATTATCATGAATAACAAAACGTTCTTTAGTGTTCAATTTTCCAACTAATTAATTACACCATAACCAGATTATAATTTCAGCAAAACGTTATTTGTTTTACATCATAAATTTCCTAAGGAATTGTGATTACTTCTCGTCACCATGTCAGTGTTTCATGGAACACTATTTCATCAAGGCCAACAACAATTAATCAAAGTCGGAGAAGACACGAAACTGTAAAAAGTTAATTAACCAGGCAGGACCAAATAAGTATATTTAGGTATATTATTATTAAGTTTTTGAGGATGCTTTTGATTGTTGTTGGATATAAATGATATTCATTTTGAAACTGATCAGAATGTGTAAAAGAAAACAACATGAAGAAGAAGAAGAAATATATATCAAAGCATTGTCCTCGCAATTGCTGCACCCACAGCCGCAACATCATGAGCAGCTTTGTTCTTATCTGTCAGAGGAGAGCTCCCTTCAGAAAATTGGCTTTCACATAAGTCAATCACGATGCCAGCGTCACTCATGCCTTGGTCAGCAAGCTTAGCGTTACCTGAAGCAAAGGCTTCATTAGCTAGGGGAACATCACCTTCTATAACTGTCTTGTAATAGTCAACGCAGGTGGTCAACGATCGGACTCCTGGGCTCTGCTTAAGTAGCTCATTGATTTTGTTCAGGCTGTCCGTTGCTTTAGCCTTAACAACATCCGCCATTACGACGCCTAAGCCGGCCACATCTGCGGTGTAGCTTCGGGGATCCGAGTTTAGAGAGATGACACAAAGATCGTAGTATGGTGTTTTTTTGCAGGTTAGGTCGATGAGATTCGCACCCATTGGAAAATAAGAAACCTTGCAATGGCTTATAGGAAGAAATACAATTAGACAGAAAGCAATTTCTAGGAGAGATAGCATGAGTTTTGGAGATATTGAATTCTTCATGTTGGCAAGAAAAATTAGGGTTTTGGGGAGTTGGTTTCGATGTCAAATTATGGTGTGAGTTCCTTTATATAGGGTTTGGATGCTGAGACAATAAATGTTGGAAAGAACAACGTACCCTGTGTCACACATAATGTGTATATAAACAGCAAGTGGTAATTTTTCATTTTATGGTATATTTTCATTTTTTGATACAATATTGATTTTTTTTTATCACATTATACCTATTGAATTTTGGTTTCAGTCTTTTGACTATTTTTTATATTTGTAAGTATATTATTCACTACCAAAAAAAAATCCGAATCATCGGCTTGGATTTTCTCTACTAGGACCTACTTAACTTTCATCTCCACACATCACATATTTAAATTTCAATACAAAGGATTTAACGTTGACACATTGCGTTTAAACAGAACACAATTTTTCCATAATTAAAAAAGAAAATGATTTCCTAATTCAAACTTGACGTGTTTTCCTCTTAATTTTCCTTCCTTTCTGCTGCAATTTGTTTCTTTCTTCCTTCTTAATACAAACCATTCGATTTGTCTATTTTTGCCTCCCCTGCCTCCCTCCTCTTCTTCAGTTTTTTTTTTTTTTTTTTTTTTTTTTTTTTTTTTTTTTTTAATTTTTTTAAATTAAAAATTTTTCACCTTCTTTTTTTTTTTTATTCATCAGTGATGGTAGTCACATTACGTTGTTTTATTTTTTTTTTTTTTTTTTTTTTTTTTTTTTTTTTTCCTATTTATATTTTATTATTTTGATCCCTTTTAGATTGGGACTTCTTTGTGCATATGTAGGTTTCCATTGGATTCCATGTTTTGTCAATGTAGATTGCAGCTGTTTTCCGGAGTTGATTTAACAGTAGATTTTTTAGTAAATTTGGCTTACACCCTTCAAATTCAATTTGCCGTACCTAAAACCCTTCACTTTTTGTTCCTATAAATAATACCCAATTTGTATAAGTAAAAACCCATGACTAGGATTCAACTCAGCAAGTTACCTAATTAAGCATAAAATCTGATTTATTGTACTTTTTAGATTCCAAAAATACCCCAACTAAGCCATTATTGCATTTTGTATATTAATGTATGAATCAATATGGAAACAGTTTTTAATTGGATTGTATATAATTACAGATGTTGAATTTGAAAAGATCTCCAAATGGTTGTAATGGATGTAGGAATTAATTTTGAAACATTTTTAAAAAAATTTAACAATAAATTCAAATTTGGGTAATCGGTTTGTTTAATAAAATTTTTATGTTATTTTCTTTTTATGAATTATACATGACTAATAATCCACTTTATAATTGTTTATGAATAAAACTATACATACTAATTATGTTGAAAAAATAATGTACCTATTACTTGTTTGTTTTATGAAAAATATAATTTACCTAGTATGAAAAGTGTACATAATTATCTATTCCAATATACCTACATTATACAACATCCAATATACCTACATTAATTTTAATGTACTTACAATTAGGATTTAGGTATTATATGTCATCCAATGTACCTACCATTTGAATAATATACCTACTACGAATAAAGTACCTATTATTTATCTAAATAATGTACCTATTTTTTATCTAAATAATGTAATTTATTTTTTTCTATAAATAATATAGCCTTTTTTCTCTGAATAAAGTACCTATTATTTGTTTTATTAAAAGTAATTTTTTTAAATGAACCTATTTTCTCTCTCCAAATAACTTACCTATTTTTTTCCTCTAATAATGTACCTATTTTTCATAGGTACATTATTGGATATGTAATTTATTGGATACCTATATTTTATATGTATATATTTATATTATAATTTTCATAAGTACATTATTGGATATGTAATTTACAGATTTTTTTTTTTTTTTTTTTGTTTTTTTTTGCAATTTTTAGGGGCGAGATGTGAGAGGGAATGACAACTATAAGAAATGGGGTGATTGATATGCTATTAATAGGGAGTATATTAATTACAATTATGACAGTTAATGAAATGCTTGAAATAAATTATAAATAAAATATGAAGTTTAGTGGCAACGATGTAAAAACATAGAAATACTACGACCTCTTATATTTTACTGGTCATTTAAATTTGAAATTGGGTTTTACACATAGATTTATAGAGTGATGGGTATATGTCTAGGAAATAGAAAATGTATGGATCTATATTGGACAAGTCCTAGATTTTTTATAGGGTTGTTCCCTTGATTAGGGTTTGATGATGGGTTCTTTATAAATACAAACGTCTTTCAGCCAAATACGTACAAAATTGATGCAGGGGTGTATGAAGAAACAATGGTTGTCCTACAATAAGAACTTTCAAGCACAACAATATTTTTTCATATTCCTCTAGCAAAATTTGCACGCATAATAATTTTTTAAACATACTTGTTTGAATAGAAATTTAATCGAAGATTTTTTCAATCCAAATCATAGGTGTGGTAATCTAAAAACTATGAAGAATAAGCGGCATTAATGCAGCTAATATGGAGAAGTGAAGGGAATCTATGCCACATTTTTTGCCATTTGATGGTTTTTAAATGAGATGGCAAATGAAGAATAAAAGTTAAGGAGATTCTAGCAGAGAAAATCAAAGCACGGGATCCTGATAAATAAAAAAAACCTTTTCTTGAAACTGAAGTAATTAAAAGACCTTTTGTTTTGTCAATTTCAAGATCTGGATCCACTGCTAGTCTTTCCACATTTCTATTTCTACCTTTCTAAAAAATAAAACGTTAATATCTTAAAACTGTAGCCATTTAAAGACTTCCTTTTCCCTAATTTACTCTTATCTGACTAAGAAAAAGTAACCTACTTTAAATCATTAAGAAAATTGAATTGTCACTTATTTTTCAAATAGAACTGATAGAGAGTCAATATGAATTTAGTTTTCTTAATTTTAAAAACTTATGGCATGTTTACTAATCCGCAATCGGATTAAGAGGAATTGAATTGAGGAGAATTAGATTCTGGATTCCTATTGAAGTTCTAGTTACCAAAATGTCCTTGTTGTTGGGTTAAATTTGATAGCAAATTTGGAATTTTTAAAATTGTGTGAGAATATAATAGGTAAAAAAAGATGAATTCATAATGGATTAGTTTTCCTAGAATTAGAATACTACCTCCCACCCAAAAATTGAATTCTTCCAAAATCAGGAATTTAATTCCTAATTTTGTGTGGGCCCCCACTTACTTTTTAATTCATTGATGTGAAGTAAATACAGGAATCCTCCATAGGTGGAATTAAATTCATAATGATAATTCCAATTCCTGATTAGTAAACACACCATTAAAGTAGAAGAGGGAGAAAGCGAGCTAAAACAAAAGGAAAAGAGTGATGGATAATAGAGAGAGACCGACCAAAAAAAAACACAAAAATAGAGAGAGAAGGAGAGGGAGGCCTTCTAGGGTGTCCATAGATCACCACTAGGGCAAATTAAGCTTCTCCTCTGTCAGATAGCCATGACCCAATATTCTGTAGCTTGAAGGCCCATCGGTCTGGAGTCGTTGATTACCGACCCAATAATCGACTATTACATGTGTGTAACCATTTTGTATATTTTTCTTAACAATTTTACATTTGTAGGACTTAATTTCTACCTAACAAGACTACATGACTAAAATTGTCCAAATTAAAACAATCGGTCCAATTTTGTTCCTATCAACTTTACAATGGTTAAAACCATGAAATAGATCAATCCGCTATTCAATTCGATTTTGAGTTGATACCGGCTTTTTTAGTCAACACATTTTCTTCCTTTTAATTTGGCCCAGTTCATCGTCAAATATCACCTTAGCTATTGTAAGGAGCTTATAACTCAAACAATTAAGAGTAGTTACACATGTACTCAAAGTCTAGTGTTCGAATCCCCCAAATACCGCTTATTTTTTATTTTTAAAACTATCTTAGCTATTATTTATGTTGCACGGATACAGTTACACTGATACAATACGATATGATTCGCCAATACGGCAAAACTCAAAAAACTAGGATACGAGTATGGCACTGATACAACAATTAAAATAATATATATTTAAAAATTAATATTGTATCCATCATGTTATAATCATCCACCTTAAGTTCAAAACATAAAACTAAGCCCAAAATACAAATTTCCATAGGATTGCTCAAATCATTAAAAAAACCACACAAAAACAAATTAAAACATTGTGAAGCCACTTCCTAAATCTTTAACTTCATAGGATTCAATAATTTTGAAAACGACCAAACATAGTTTCAAATATTTTCAAAATTACCCCTTAAAATATCAGAAATGTATCGGGACCATATCCTTGGAAATATCATAAACGTATCAAAAGGTCGAACTTTCGGAAAAATCCACGATACTCCTATATCCATATCAAAGATGTATTGTACTCGTATCAGCGTATCAAAATATCGGATACGAGCATATCAAAGGTGTATTGTACTCGTATGGCGCAACATAGGCTATTATACTTGAAATCATGTGAAAACAAAATACTAACAACCGTGCAACTTACATGCCATACATAGTATGAACACGTAACCAAGATTGTCTCTGATTCATAAACTAAAAACAAAGGGGAACCAACCAACAACCACTTCCAAAGCATCTACCCAACTGTTCATTAATTTCATATGACTTGTAAAGTAATCATGTAAATTGTATGCACCCTTAATCTGTCAACTATCGGTGACGTCCATTCTCAAGTCCAAAGAACTAGTCAAAGAGAGACAACTTTGGCCAATATGCGAAGCTCCCGGCAGAAAATGCAAACTATGGGTCACGTCCGATTCCTGTGTGTCAATTAACGTTTCACACTTCTTTTTCTACGGCACTTTAATTTCGATAACTTCCACCCTTTCATCATTTCTTTTTGTTAAAGATCCATTTGAATGAGTTACCAATCAAAGGAATGACCACACCAAGATATTGTCGGTTTTTCACAAGTGATGTTCTATCCTAGTCAAGTTCGGAGAAAAAAATTATGATATAAACCTTTTTCCTGTTTTGAAATATGTATTATATGTGTAATTGTATATGTGTTTGGTTGCTCAAGCAGTTGCGATTAAGTGATCTTTTATTGTATCAAAACTGGATAAATAAGAGACTTGGAAAAAAAAAAAAAAAAAAAAAAAAAAAGCTATAGTGTTAAATTTGTGTTCACTTGGCACGTTAATGTTACATTGACAACACCATTATAGATGAGTCGGCAACTCACAAGACAATAACACGATCCATTAACACGAATTGCCATCAAATTTAGTAGTAAACACGATGGTCTATCAAAAGAATCGAAACATCATTTATATGCAAGTAATACGTAATGAGGTCTAGTCCAGTGGAAAATGGTCTTAACAGATTAGTGGTCTCAAGTTCGAACTCTTATAACATCTTGGTAGTATGAAAAAACCTCATTCCCCTTCTTAATTTGGCACAAAATAAAAATATGCAAGCAATACAATTATGGTGTGTTTACTAATCAAGGAATTGGAATTCGAATAAGGAAATGAATTCCAATTATGGAGGATTCGTATTTACTTCTTAGAAAGTAAGTAGGGCCCACAAAAATTAAGAATTGAATTTTTTATACAAATTTATAAATAAACCAAATCCTAGACATGTATTTATAAAAAAACTCAAACACTATTTAAACATAGAAACATACCCAAAATCAACAATTGTATATTTTTTGGGTGTGTTTATAAATAGGTTTTGCGTGTGTAATGATGGATTTTGGGTGTGTTTATAAAGTGTTTTGAGTGTTGGGTTTTTTTATAATTTCAGCCCCCATTTTGGGTGTTTTAGTGAAACTCCCAATTTTTTATTTTGGAGGAATTTAATTCTTGGGTGGGATGTGGTATTCTAATTTTTAGGAATTCATCTTATTTACCCATTATATGCTCACACAATTTTTAAAATTCCAAATTTGCCATCTACTTTAACCCAACAATAAAGACATTTTAGTAATTAGTACCACTCTCCTCAATCCATATGGTTTAGTAAATAATTTTAATAGGAATATGAAATCTAATTCTCCTCAATCCATATGATTTAGTAAACAACTTTAATAGGAATCCGGAATCTAATTCTCCTCAATTCAATTCCTCCTAATCCGTAATCGGATTAGTAAACATATCATTATAATTAATTAATTAATTAAAGAACTTCTCGAAAGTAAACTATCCCCTTCCTCCTCTTAGACCATGATTAGTTTGGTGGGAATTGGATGAACCGACCCAAGCTAGTTTGTGAGGCCATTAAAAATCAGTGTCTCTGCTTGTAGGGGGAGAGGCTTATAGTTAATTTGGCTTGACTTTGAGCAGATAACCCCACAAACAATAAAAATCCCTGTACGGAGAAGAAATTTCTGGCCTGCGTTAAATAAAATTTCTTATTCAAGTCAACAAACCTTTCAAGCACTCATAATTTATGTATCTCTATCTTTGAACAAACTTTCCTCGTCACTTGGCTTATCTCCAGTTGCTTCCCCACTGCCCCTCCAACCACCAAACAAAACTTTTAACTCATTTCATTTCTATCAAACACTTTCTCTTCCCCTAAAAAAAAAAATATGAAGTCCTGGCTTTTCTTCTCATCCCCTTTTGCCTTCTTTGTTTTCATGAACATTCCTTTAGCCTCAAGCATTGATGGGTACACAAGTTGTAGCAACAAGTTCAACTGTGGAGAGATCACAAACGTTGGTTTTCCTTTCTGGGGATACGGCAGGCCAGAGAGTTGTGGCTATCCAGAACTGAAGCTCACATGTTCCGAGAATGTCACCGCTATAGGGATTATGGGGGTCCAATACAGAGTGTTGAAGATAAACCAAGAAGCTGAAGAAACACTCAAACTTGTGAGAGATGACTACTATGACAAAATTTGTTCTCCAAAGTTTGGGGACACCAAACTGAATTCCAATCTTTTCGACTATGTTTCAGGCTCCGTCGATGTTAAATTACTGTATAATTGTACTTCTAGCTCACAAGGTGACTACAGTTGCCCCAACGGTGAAACTTATGGTGATGTGGCCGCCGTACCTGCAGCTGTTCCGGGGTCTCTCATGTGTAAATCAAAGGTGGTGATTCGGATTCCGGAGGCAATGAGTTTCAGTTTGTTTGGTTTAGAGAATGTTGAACAGGCAGTCAGAGAAGGATTTGAGGTGAAGTATAAGGTGGACAGTGCAAAATGTGATGAGTGTGTTGGTTCAAAGGGTGTTTGTGGTTATGATTGGGATTTGAATGAGACTGTTTGCCATTGCGCGAATCAAAGTTCTGCGTCCCCGATTTGTTCTGCCACAGAAGAGGCCATAGACAATCCAAAATTGCCATCAGCTAAAGGTACGAGCTATGAACCCAAATAAATATGCTAACAAGAGTGGTTTTTTGCATTTGAAGCTGAATTTCTTAGCTTTTGGCAATTGGGTTCCTCATATCAACTCATTTTTGGTAGTGTTCAACATGACTTCATTTTGTCCCATGGACTTGTGTGAAAGAGGACTGCAGAAATTTTGAGAATATTTTAGTCCCTTGACACTCTGACCATAAAAAAACCAAGTTAGTTTATTGTCAACTGTCTAAATTCAGCATAGCATACAAGGATTTTTTAACAACCATTTTAATCCTTTGGCAAAGATAGAAATATAATTATATTTAGGAATGATTTTGATGGATTGCCTTTTCTTTGGACTATATGAGACTTTTTACTCATTTACAATTAAGGGTGGATGAAACAGAAGTGTGGATAGATAATTAAATGTTAATGTTCCATCACAATTTGGGGCCATATATATATTAGTGGCCAAAGTAGTGCTGAATTTTCTTTAAGTTAGATGGCTTGTCCCTTTCATATTTTAATCAGGTTGGTAGGAAGTTGGCCTTATTTTGTCACTATTAAGGAACACATTAGGGATTTGGTTAAAGATTTGCCTCATCTTTAACCAAAACCTTAACTTGCTAAAATCCTTCAAGCTAAAGTGACCTTTATTCGTCCCCGGTGCGTAGGGTGGTAGAGGGTGGAGGACGGGTCACTCGGTTTGCCGCCAGTGCCTGGCCTCACGTCCTCCCTCTCCATTTGAGATGAAATGGTTGAGATATTTTTGAATGTTTGTTGCTCTGAGGTTATCCTTGTCCAACAAACAAGTCATGGAATCTTTTGTAACTATTATATTCTTCCTGCCATGTTCTTTGCATTGTACTTATTATAAGTCTTTTGCTAAAGGTCTTTGGTGGTACCTGTCCCAAAACTCCATCATCTATTGACTTTGTCTAGCTTCTGGAAGAACATATTTTCCAGCCCTCATGAGAACACCTCCACATCATCTGAGTGGTTTAGGAAATTAATTAGAAATATAAACAAACATGGAAGTAGACTAATTAAAACTATTGCATGCCTTTTTGGGATTGGCTGGTGTGCCAAGAAATTCAAACAAGAATGACAAAAGAAACAGAGAAAACGAGATAGGCTTCTGTTTCCCTTACCAAATTTCATTGAAATTTTCAAAGGCCGATAGCTTAAGACTTGGCACAACAACTATATTAAAATAAAACAGGACGCTTATTCCTTTTTCATTGCAATCCTTGAGCTTCCCCATTTCATTGATGCTTGAGTTTCCTTGTCCCTCACTCTGAGCTTTTTCCTCCAAAAACATGCATACCCTTCTGCTTCAATGGTTGTTTCCCTTGCTCTTGATCACTTCCTTTCTTTTGATCAACGTTGAGTTAAGTCTATGCCAGGAGAATGAACAATATACAAACTGCAGCGAAGCTATTAACTGCGGTGGCATCGGAGGCATCTCATATCCCTTTTGGGGAGTAAACCGGGCTAATTACTGTGGTCTGCCGGGGTTTGAGGTCAAATGCCAAGATAATGTACCCATGATCAACATATCGAGCATCAACTACAGAATTCTTAAAACGGACTCTACTGCTCCCTCTGTTACAGTTGCTAGGCAGGACTATTGGGGAACTCTCTGTCCTCCGACTTATGTCAACACCAGCATCAACTTCTCTCTGTTTAATTATCCGTCTGGGCTTACAAACATGACCTTTTACTACGCGTGCAATGCAACTATAACTATCCCGGGGCTGGGGGATAACTATACTTCCCAAGTTTGCAGTACGAACAACGGTGACATTACTGTTTGGTCTTTCACCACGAATCCCCCAGTTGATCCAGTTGCTGCCCGCGCCTGTAAAACTGGGGTCATTGTTCCGGTTTTTACGACAGCTGTTCAGGCTCTAGTGACCAATCAAAAAACTATCCAGGAAGCCGTAGATGAGGGCTTTGAATTGGGATTGAAGATTGATAATGTTGAATGCAACAGTTGTGTGGAATCAGGAGGGAAGTGTGGGGTTAACGCTACTGGTGGATTCAGTTGCTTTTGCCTGGATCAGGCCTACGCAGCCGTATGTAATGCAACTGCACCCGGGGCACAAGGTATGTCTGTCCCTTGTCATTCTCTTATAAATTACAGACTAGGAAGATGTTAGGAGTTTTTGTGTCATTGAATTCCAGGATTGGTAGCATCCACTCTTTTTTTTTAATATTACAATTTAGATAGCTTCCTACGTGTGTGATTAGGCTCGTCTGTTAAAAGCCCGGATCGGAAATTGGGAATTGTGTCCTATATAGTCCATGTCCAAGTAGGAATAATCCATCTGCATGCAGAAGCAGAACATTGAAACTGCTGAGCTTCACAGCTACAATAATAGGTCTGCGACTATGTGAGAGATCATGTTGCTATGAGCTTCAGCAATTAAACTTGCATAGAAAATTTCTGTCAACCAATTGAACCTTAAGCCCTTAAGATTGTTCATGTTTTGGTCATTTTGATCCTTTGGCGCAAGCATCAATTTGGATGTCCCGATGTTGCCAGAGTCAACCCTTTTTGTTGCTCTCCCTGGACTGCAAAACTGTGCCGTATTACATGCTCCAAGCAGCCTAAGAAATATAGCCACCAGACATCTTATACAATCCCATTGAAGTCGGTGTCAGTCGCCCTTTGTTGACTTTGATCATCCAACATGGAAATAAGATAGTTTTATTAATCTAAGTGCAGAGAGGTTTAGGTGCACAAATTCAAAACTTAGCTAATTTTCTATCAAGGTGTGCTGATTTGTTAGACAACCAATACAAATTTCGTGCTAAGACCGCCTGCAAAGTTGACCATAACTATGTTAGAGAGAGAGAGAGAGAGAGAGAGAGAGAGACTTGGTCACCAAAAAAAATTTCCATTGACTACAAGCACTCTTAACGTTCCACTAGAACCTTCTATTTTTAATATGTAAAAATATAACATAAAAATAAGATTAATCCAACGTTAACTTCGTCACATCCCCACCCATTTGTCTTCACAGTCGTACTTTAGAGATGAAGGCATTCACATTCATCTTCTCTTCTTTCCCACAACTTTGAATAGTATTCTCTCTCTCTCTCTCTCTCTCTCTCTCTCTCTCTCTCTCTCTAAAAATGAATCTCTATCCCTTGCAAAAGATCTCTTTTCTCCTTGTGATCACAAGTACTATATGCCTATTGTATATTCCAAGATCTTTGGGTAAGGAGGATGATGAGCAATACCTCAACTGCAGCGCTTCGTTTCAATGCGCAAATATTCCGAATATTGGTTACCCTTTTTGGGGATCAAGCCGGCCCAATTATTGTGGCTTCCCGGAATTCAAGTTGAACTGCACCGGGGACGCCCCGGTGATCTCATTCCAGGATGAAGATTATCGAGTCCTGGATATCAACCAAAGTGCACGTACTCTTAGAATCGCTAGGACAGACTACTGGAACAACGTTTGTCCTGTGTCACCTGGCAACACCACAATAGAAGTAAACCATGTAGAATATGCTTCAGATGTTCAAGAACTACTGCTGTTCTATGACTGCCCCCCACTCAATATTCCTCTTCCAATTCAGCTAACAAGTCAGTTCAACTGCAGCATAAACAGCACTGCCAATTACATCAATTACTTTGTCACACAAAACCTCACGAATTCTGGGCTCGCGAATATTAGTAGTACCTTTGGAACGTGCAACAAGACCGTCACTGCCCTCGTTTCGCAATCAGCGCGTGAAAATTTGGCGATGAATTCCACCAAGGACAATCTAGTTGCCGTTCTTGATTCTGGGTTTGGGTTGAAATGGGATACAAGTAATAACTTGTGTAAGCAATGTAACGGAACTGGTGGTCAGTGCGGGTACAATACATCTACAGCTGAGTTCACCTGCTATTGCAAGGATGGACCTAATCCCTCAAACTGTGCAGGTATGCATGCGCTTGTAATCTTTTTGGTCTTAATTCCTTGTCTTTGGGGCTTTTTATCAAACACCAACATGTCACATGTGGGTCGTTTAGAATCTTTATGCTACTTTCAATCCCTTCACCATTGCAAACTCTCCTACTTAGCAACCAATGCCAAAGGGCTTTGGCTCAGGTTAGAGAGTAATATAGAAATCTAGCGTTTAGGCTAACTACTTCTTGATTCCTCTATGTTTTCTTTTAGTATATAGTCTGGTCTAGAAACAAGTGAGGGGCCAAAGCAAGATTGGGTTTTTGAGTTGGGTCTCAGAAGAAGATGAAGTCAGTTTTGATGGACAAATAGAATTTTTTTAGATGGGTGCAAGATTTGTGCCAGATTGAGTCCTTTTGCAGCTCCTGCTGCATCTTCTGGTACAAATTCAGAGACATTAGTGCAGAGTATGCAAACATAATACCAATTGTTCCATAAGGCACTATCGGAGCCCACTATTAAGTCCAAGCAATCACATATTGTTCCCTACTTATGATTAAGTCTAATACATCGGATGAAATAAGGCTGGATAAACTCATTTAGGTGTGAGATTTCAACTTAAAAGGCCTCGGTACAACTACCAACGTAGACAAATGTTTAACATTCAATTGGAGCAAAATTTTATGGGATTAGATTTTACAACCTTACCCCGACCATTAAACGGGACTTTATTGTTCAGCTCAATTCTCTATCCTAGAGTTCAGTGATGTCAAATTATGTGTTTCTGCTTGCAATTCTCTATACTGTGGTCTAAACTATGTGCTCTCCTAAACTTTGACCTATACCAAACATTTTCTGACTCCTACTCCTTTTCCATCCAAATTCCTTTCACATAGCCATGGAAAACCCATGCGGCATTCCATTGGAAACTGCAAGTTGGGTTCTTCTGGTCTTTTAATATCATCTCTCCAATTAGCTAGGCTGGCCATTTCCATGCCAAAACAAAACCAAATGATTCATACCACGTGTTATGCTTCATATGTTCTGACTTGTGAGTTATCTAGGCTGCTATGACATTTACTATAATGACCTTATCTGAATTTAGAAGCTTGTATGAATTTGTTTAGCTTTTGGGCTAGCCACAACGCACAGAAAATTCCCTAGGTACAAGTCAAAGAAATTAATTTCCGTGTTTGATTTTTGTTGAATGAAATCACACAAGCATGCATGTTTCATACATTAAACTATTAAAAGGTCGTAGGTCCATTTAATGAATTCTTGATAAAGATTGTTCTTTCGTAATATACCTTTATAATAGCTATAGTTCGTCAATAAAACAAAGCTTTTCATTTCATGTGCGCGGTGGTTGGGCTTTTTTTATATTAAATATATAGTATTGTAGGGACTGAAAATGTCTTATTCCATTTGCATGTGCTGTCATGAATACTTTGTACCTAATTCATGTATTGAAATTAGGAATTTTCAGCGAAGATTTCATTAGTGTAGCTGGGTTCGAGTTGTAGCAGCCGTGTAATGTGTGTGAGTTTAGCATATTATCATCCTTCCGAACATAAAAAATCTTTAAAAAATATTAAAGAATCTTCAAACCAAAGTAAGATATAATAATTTGTGCCTCGGAAAAAGGTGCTCTATAATTTGATATATTTACCTGAGAAAAAGTATATTTACCGGAGAAAAAGTTGGGGGGTAGTAGAAGTTTTCTGCCTAAAGAAAAACTTGCCCAAAAATTGTATGAGATTTTCTTCTTTTCACATTCAAAGCCCTCCTCCTATTCATCAACTACCCTTTCGAAAAATTGCTAGTTTGGAGCTCACACTGTTTGACTATACCGTTGAAGTTGACCAGGAGTTTTACTAAATCTAATAAATAAATAGTAAATAATCATTTTAATTCCTTGAATTACGAAAATACCCATAAATTATTGAACAGAAAAAACTCAATAAAGTAAAAAAAAGATAACATATTTGGTCAGCAGCCTCCAAAATATTCAAAAGATGCGTGCAGTGTCCACCCACAACAGTCCAAGTCAACTAACGCCGCCCATATGATCAAACCAAAACTTCATTGCATTTCATCACTCAACTCTCTAAGCCACTTCCCGCCTCGCCCACCCCACACCCAAACGCCGTCGTTTTCCCTCCCCTTCCCCAATGCACCCACTCTTCCTCCTTCTCCTCCTCCTCTTCTTCTTCTACTCCTTCGAGGTTACTACGTCGTTTCCCTCGAATGCAAACCTCTCCAACTGCTCCCAAGCCTTCGACTGCGGCCCGCTCCGAAACCTCTCGTACCCGTTCACCGGCGGGTCCCGCCCGGACTACTGCGGCCCGCCGGAGTTCCATATCAACTGCGTCGACGATTCGCCGGAGCTGACCATCTTGTCGCTGAGTTACCGAGTTCTCCAACTCGACCCGGTTCGTCGGAATCTGAAGCTGGCCCGCTCAGACCTCTGGACCTCGACCTGCACAGACATGGTCTTCAACTCAACTATGAAATCCGAGTTCTTCGCCTACAACGAGAGCGACGACGTGGACGTGACCATTTTTTACGGCTGCAATTCGACGAACACTACGCCGAAGCTCGGGAATAGGTTCCACTGCAACAACAATCGGGCTTTCAACGACTCTTACTACTTGATCGGGCCGGTCCCGCTCGACCCGATTATGAGCACTTTCAAGTGTGAGATTGGAATTACGGTGCCGATTCTCAAAACCACGGCAGCGAAGCTCGTCGCCAATCGGTCGCTGTTTCAGGAAGCGATCAATGAAGGCTTCACTGTTAACTATACCAACCCTTATGATAATCAATGCGCTCAGTGTCTTGGTGTAAATGGCCTGTGTGGGTTTGACTCGGGTTCGAGCGAACCCGTTTGCATTTGCGGCCATCGGGTTTGTGACCCAGCAGGTAGTTTCAACAGTCTTTGAAGTTTTGATTGGTTTTTTTCTCTCATGGGTTTTGTAGAATTTACTCATAGTAGTTTTGGGCAATTTTTAGGTAGTTTTTTGAGTGTTCAGTATCCAAAAATGGCTTCTTTGTCTTCTAGTTTTGTTGCCTTACTTAACTCCTATGTTGATTTTGATGACACCAAACAGAGGAATAGCCTTTTATGCACTGTTTTGCTATTAGTCCCTCTTTAGTAGACCATTGCACTACTTAACTAGTGTTAGGATCTCAACGTTTCATAGATTCATTTGCCTTGGCACATGAGTTTTTGGTTGCTTCGGTTTTTCGAACGGGCACCGGGGTCTAGCTGAAGACAGGACAAGTAGATGGCTAATGTGTAATGAGCATTCAACTAGATAGATGGCTGATTCCGTCCACTGCTCATCAATTTCCCGTAGATACGTTCACTTTGTTCTTAGAAGATAGAAGTTGTCACAAATTGTGATTTGTTTAATGAGCTATAATGTAATGCTATCAGTTCCTTGTGCATATTGGAGAGAAAGAACAATGGCTTTCTCCATGTTTGGCCTGCTTTGTTTTCAGTGACATGCTATTTATATCTGTAGCCTGATATGGGTAAGGGGTTTTCTTAGTTTTGATATTCATGGAAATTCCACAGGTTATTATAAGAGTAAATTCCACAAGTACTATGAAGAGTTTGTTTTTCCCCTTTTTGTATTGAGAACTTTATAGTCCACAAAATATTTCTATATATGTTATACAATTTTCAACTAATGTTGCTTTATCTTTTGACTGTTTCAGGAAAAAAGAAGGAAATAGCAATAGGTAATACTTCACTTCATTTATAACATATTGATCACATCATGGCAGAAAGAAGAAAATTTAAGCAATATTTGTTTCATCTTCAGGTCTTGCTGTAGGAGGTGCAATCCTTTTTGGCATTTTCGTAGGATTCTATATATATTCTTTCATACAAAAAAAGAAGAAGAAACTTGCTGCACTAGCTCAAAGCAAAGAGATTCCGACACCCCTCACGAGCAAAAGCATTGCTACTCCCTCAACTAATCTCTCTCAATCTCAAAGCATCCCTTCGTATCCTTCCTTTAATTCAAAGTCAGACTATGATAAGGGGAGCACTTACTTTGGAGTTCAGGTCTTCAGCTATACTGAATTAGAGGAAGCCACTGAAAATTTCAATCCTGCTAAAGAACTTGGAGACGGAGGATTTGGCACTGTTTACTATGGTTTGAAAATACTTCCTTTTGCATCTCTATAAGTTACCAATTTCACTCACCAATAAATACTTGTTAATTCTGTTTTGTAATATTTTCTTTTAATTGCTTGATCAGGTAAGCTACAGGATGGCCGTGTAGTTGCAGTGAAGCGCCTTTACGAGAACAATTTCAAACGTGTGGAGCAGTTTATGAACGAGGTCGAGATCTTAACTCGTCTCGAACACCGGAACCTTGTCAAGCTGTACGGATGCACCTCAAGAAGGAGCCGAGAACTCCTCCTTGTTTACGAGTATATTCCTAATGGAACAGTTGCTGACCATCTCCATGGGAAAAGAGTCGAATCCGGGTTTCTTAGTTGGCCTGTTCGATTGAGCATCGCCATAGAGACAGCTGATGCACTGGCTTTCCTGCACCGCAATGATGTAATACACCGTGATGTCAAGACCAACAATATTCTCATAGACAACGACTTTTGTGTGAAGGTCGCTGATTTTGGGCTCTCAAGATTGTTCCCCAACGATGTCACGCATGTTTCAACTGCTCCACAAGGGACCCCCGGCTATGTTGATCCTGAGTATTATCAATGCTATCAACTCACGGACAAGAGTGACGTATATAGCTTTGGCGTGGTCTTGATCGAGCTCATATCATCACTACAAGCAGTGGATACCAATAGGCACCGGCACGATATAAATTTGGCCAACATGGCTATCAACAAAATTCAAAATCATCTAGTGAATGAGTTGGTTGATCCTCTTCTTGAGTTCGAAACGAACCATGTTGTTAGGGGGATGGCAACAGCAGTGGCAGAATTGGCCTTCCGATGTTTGCAACAGGAGAGGGACATGAGGCCAACCATGGACGAAGTGTTAGATGGTTTGAGAGCAATCCAGAATGAAGATCTTGGTTCAGAAGACGGTCAAGCAGTTGTGCTGGATATCGGGGCAGATGACGTTGGACTCTTGAGGAACATGCCTCCCCCACTCTCACCAGACTCAGCCGGAACTGATAAATTGGTTAGCAGCTCTACCCCACCTAGTTCCTTTTAGCACTTCAGATTTCCATATCCTCCCACATCCTCCTCTTTTCTGCTTTTTGGTGAGCTTCAGCCTTCAGTTCTAAAATAGATGGTAAAAAGTATTGTATACTCATAATCAGATCCTCTGGACTGGATTCAAACTTCATTGTCTTTCTGTATGCTTTGTTTTCTTTCGATGTTGATAGAAGATATACTAAAGTGGCATCACTATTTGATCCAAGCCAGCCAATGTACATAAATGAATGAAGCTGTCAGCACTTGGAATGTTTTTTTATGTACAAAACTACCTTCTTCTCTACTTTTTTGTTCCTTTTTTCTCTTCTTATAATCAGTTTCAATATATCACAAACACATGGTTTTGTTGGTAAATCTTGGCATTTAAAAATGAATTTTTTTCCTCTAATTTTTGTTCTTCAACTTAACAGGTTTATAAGAGATGGGACAAAACTATTTAACCCAACTGGTGATGGTGGAAGCTCAGACTCAGAGTTCAACAAAATCTCATGGTGGATTGATTTTGTAACTTTTAAGTTGTAAATGCAGGAAAGCACCATTGTCGTACGCGGATGGTGGACTAACTTTTGGTACAATACTTTCTTCGCTACAAAGCGCGGCAGAGATGGCCTTTGTTGTCACTACGTCACTACGATATTTTGGGTTTTGGTTTTGCCTTTTTTTTTTCTATACAATTATGTATAATTATACATTTATTTATATATGCACAATCAACTTACAATTATTGAGCATATCTATTTGAATAAAGCAACCAAAAAAAAATCATGTAAATATGCAATTATATTTTATCTTTGTATAGGCAAGTTCACTACTTCCCAAAGAGAAGAAGCCTACCATACTTCCTTTGCCGTGCAAAAGCATTCCCAATTCCTCAATTTTGTTGTATGAATTGACTAAGAGCTCATTTGAGAGTGATTTTGAGAGCCAGAATCACTTATGGGGGGAAAGGTTTGAATTTAAGGAATTTATTAAGACACAATTTAGAATGGTTTAGCAAGTTTAGGGCTCCAAATTTAGAATTTAGGGTTTATGACGGATCAACGCTAAAGATTAAATATATTTATATTAGCTTTAGTCATATCGAGTTGGATGTATAACGGTTTGACACGAAAATAGACATCTATTAACCAATCATTGTTAATTTTCAAAACATGTTTAATACGATAGTGACACTTTCTTTGTGAAAGTTAATTTTATTTTTTAAAATTCTGAAGCTTATAAATTCATCTTTTATTTATATTCTTTTTAATAATATGCGTGGACATTTGTTTTGTAAGGCAGTACAAATAAGTTTCTAGTGCATTAAAAGATCTAATTTTTATTTATTATATACATGAAGTTATTCATATATATATATATATATATTTAATACATTTTGTCAACACAGTAAAAAATAAGTAAATACGACATGAAATTATTAGTAAATGCGCTACTAATTTGTGTTTATATATTTCGACACGATAAGTTAATATTTGGGTCTTGAGAAAAACGCGTGACATTACTGATTGGTTGAGATCCAACAATAGCCAAATTCGGTTTCCAACTCTCCTTTCGTCATCATTAACCAAAAGCAAGACTTAAAAACAAACAAGAATATCAAAATCAATTCAACAAATCCGTCCCCAAAATAAGAACAAAATTCTTGGCTTCAGCCGACTCATCTGTTCTAAGATTCCAATCAACAAGCAAACATCTCCTCAAAGGCCGCCACGTGGAAGCATAGATGGCCTGCAACCCAAATAGCCCCAAGAAGAAGCCAAAGAGTCCAAGAGGCCCATGACCGAAAGCAAAAGTTACACAAGACAGAAGAATCCATAAAGCCGTTTCCTTCTTCCTCTTGTTCACTCATTTGTTTCTCCAAAGCCCCACCCTCCAATATCAAATTCCAGTTCTTCTCTTTTCTCTCTTCTCTCTTCTCTCTTCTCTATCTCTACCCAAATAAATATTAAAATATTCTTAAAAAGAACGCATTTTTCAGCTCCCCTTGCTCACTCCGAACAGTGAATAAAGCAATCCCATCCTGATCCTCCCATGGCCTCCTCAGATCAGATCTCGCCTTCTCTCTCCAATTAACAACGAATTTACACTAAAACTTCTCCAAATTCATGGCGACCTTGCAGAAATTCAAGCTCTTAGCCACCCAATGCGCCGTAGCCGGAAGCCCCACCCGGAGCCCATCCGCCAGCCCAGTCATTCACCTCCGCCGCCGCAAAACCCTAAGAATGTTCCTCTCCCGCACCGACCGCCGCCGATTTACTAGCCGGAGCAACTCCGACCCTCCAGTAATCAACGGCGACGATGAAGACGACGACGATGATCGGCCGCAGAAGAGCAAGGAGGTCGCGAAGGTTCGGCACAAGCTTAAGGACCTCTTCGTCTCCTCGCCGCCTTTAGAAGATAGGGTTTCGGATAGGAGCCGAGGAATTGAACAAGAAGAAGAGCGAGGGTTGTTGTCGGCGACCGGAAGTGTCGGCGGTGTCGGTTCTGGTGGCTTCGCGAGCCGGCGCGGTGCAGGCATGTCGCTTCGGCCACTAGCAGCGTCGTTTCGATGTAGATTACTGAAACGAGCTTGGCGGCCTGTGCTCGTCACCATCCCCGAGTAGGCGTTCTCAATTTTCTGTGGATGTACGGATAATTCCAAAAATTTTAATTATTTTTTTCTTTTTCGGTTCTTGGAAATATTAATTTTTGCTACTCTCGGAGTGTAATTTTAGATTAGAAATATAAATAAATAAAATAACTAATGGGATTATAATATTATTTTGGCGCCGTTTGTTGCTTACGTGCGCCGGGTGTCGCTAGCGCACTGATCACGACGTAACGGGCCTTAGAGTTAGAGCATCTTTAACGGCCTTTGCTTTGCGACGAAACCGGCCACAGAACGTGAGAGCAGCAGCGGCGTATTTTATCAGCTAGATTCGGATGTACGTTTAGATCTTATTATTAAAAGCATGGTGGGTTGTGGAATTTTCTGTAGGAACAACAGTCTTTCTTAATTCTAGACGAAAAAAAAGCAATCTTTCTTCATATTTTTTAAATGTGCTGATTAAACCTAACAAAAGTAAATGAACGTGTTAGTTAAATGAAATTTGACGGTGGGTGGGGTTGGGTCATTGAAGATGATGGGGACAAAGTTCGGCAAAAATGGATACGAATATTGTGCATTAATCTCGGGTAGAGGGGTTTGCACACAAATATTTATTGGGTGTTTAAAAGTTTTGAACCATGTGAATAGAGGTGGAAGAACGCAACCAATTGAGTTATAACCCACTAACATTATGCAAGTGAAAGAACTCGATCAATTGAGTTATAAGTCACTGGCATTATGTATCAAAACTTTATACCAAGGGAACGGGACCCAACACTACACTAGTGGGTTATTATAGAAGCTATAGAGCATAATAATGCATGGCTTACTCTTTCTTGGTTGTGCTTCAAATCCTTTCACGCTTACGAAATCTGTAATCATGATGTACAACACAAATACACAATCTAACCATATTTTTATTTTGTTTGGATCTCAAACAGAAAGATCTAAGATTTTATGATTTTTTTTGGGTTCGAAATCTAGATTTTATGATGAACTGATTTGTTTGGATTCAAGACCATATGTTTGAGCACTGACCTTTGTTTTTTAAAGTACTTTTTTTTCTTGGGCTTGATGGAGTGATATTAATAGATTTGTTTTCGGCTGATCTTCTTGTTGGATTACATACTAATTCAATATTGCGCATGCCATCTTGAGAATAATTTCACTAATGAGCTTGGCCTTCTAACATTAAACTTGGATGCAAAGCAAGCCAATGTAAAAATAGAAAGAAATTTTTTTTTGAAGTGATAGGCATTATTGCTTCAATGTATATGACACTTGTATAACGGTGGAAAAACTAAAGACTTGTTAAGTGGATTATCAAATAAATAATGTAGAAATGTCCTTTGGATTATTGCTTCAAAGTTATATTTTGTATAACTTTGGATTATATATAAATACCACTTCTCGTTTATTTTGTTCAAAGGACGCCTAAGGCCTTAAAAATTTCGGAGGCACAAGGTTTAAAGGCTAGGTAATGAGGGTAAATTCGTTTTGATTCAAATTCATATGAACGTATATTTCAGTGGTGACCAACTTTTTTTAGTATAAGTTTATTCTATTTTCTTGGCTTGAACTTATAGAATATGAAATAGCAAAATTGCCCAATTGTAAGATAAAATAGAACTAGCACTTATGCTATGCATGTGTTGGATATGTTACAAAATATAATTTAAACGCGTTGAGAAAAAATAGGGTGGATGTGGGAGAAAAGGGAAATGGGGCTTACAATATCTTATAATTTTCGTACCACCCTTAACTTCTATAATTTTTTTTTAATAAAAATGATAGTCAAACTAAAGGGGGAGGGAACTTTTCGCACACATACTATTACCAAGGCTCTATAGGGGTAAAACATTAATAAAAAACATAGCGCCTCCCTTTTTCTTCTCAGCGCCGCACGGCTCCACTGGGGGAGGAGGACTGTCCCTCTCCTCCCCCCCCCCTTCTCTTTCGTTTCTGTCAGCTCTCAACCTCCCCTGCCTTGGATTTCTTTTGTGGGGCTAGTCTTATTTTGTGTTTGAGCCTGTTTGGCTGTGTTGGTGGTTGTCTCTGAGAGTTGGTTGCTTCTCCTGGTGACTGCTTGAGCCTTGTGCTCTAGGTTGAGATTCAAGCCAATTCTGTGTCCTCTTTTCTTGGCCAAACACCCCCTTCAACTAGATTTATTTCTCCCTCAACATCCCCTCTCTTACTCTTGCCTTCTCCTTCTTCCGGATATGGTTTCTCCATTGGGATACAACAACTACTTCTTTAAGCACTTTGTCGCGTTTTATCATATTGTATATAGAGCTCTTGCTGAGGTTCTAGCTATGGTGCTTGCACCAATACTCTCCATTCCCTTGATTTCGATCCATTGGTATATACCATGGTGTTGTTGTGATTGGTTGCTGTTTTCTTCTTGGTGCACAAGCGGACTTGAGTGTAAAGCAGAAAGTGACTTTTGGAGGAATGTTCTTGTGCTGATGTGTTTATGTTTTTCGGGGAAATTTTGTTCTTGATGTAAGATCGGTGGGTCTTTATGTGTAGCTATGCTAACCTATGCAAAGGATGTGAATCCCCTCATTTGTGGCCATATTGGTGTGGTCTTCGATCCCATTGCTGCAATGGTGGCTTTGTTTTGATTTTGTGTAGGAAAGATTTGTTATCCTAGACTGTATTGGTTTTTAGTGTAATCTTTCATGTGCTTGTGGTACTTTATTTATGCATTTGGCATTTTTGGCCCTTGTTTTCTCTGTTTGTTTCCTTCCTATTTTTGGGGTTTTAATGAACATTGATTGACCCCCAAAAAAACAAAAAAAAAGGTTCTATAAGGACCTCTAGTATGCAAGTTAAGACCATTTTTCATTGGACTAGACCCCATTAACCCTTTTATACCTAATGATTATATAATTTGTTTACTCATAATATAGATGAAGGGGTAAAGTTCGAATCTAATATAACAACTACTAAATAAGCACGACCACCACTTAATTCATAGTCTCTAGTATATTGAGCCACACCATAAACTGAATTATTCGATACACCAAGCTGTAGATTCCATGAGTATACAAGAATTTATTAACATAAGCCTTACAACATAATTTGGCTATCAAGTCATGAACTTTATGATAAAGCAACAAGGGATGATCAGGGAGGGTTCTATTCATCACAAAAATGCCATTACTGTGTCACTCCTATCCAAGAAATGTTCATTTGAGTATTTTAAGAGGCAGTCATCATACCAAATTATAACTCCTTTCTTTTTAAGACAGAGAATGCGAATCGTTTGTATTGCAAACCTGATACAACTTCTGCAAACAGAGCGGGAGCTGTTACTCCAACATTGTGATAGTCCATGAATATAAGTACTTTTACTATACTTCTCAGATAATTGTTGAAGTAAGCCATTCAATTTAATTGCATAACTCTTATCAGCTGAAAATTCTAGCTGGTTAAAACACTTATGCCCAATATATTCAGCAACAGAGCCTCCAAAGACAACATGTAGAAAAAGAAAGAAAGATAACTGACCCATAAGGATAATTAGTGGTTTTGATAAAAACGTCTTCAACAGAAATTAACTTGTGTGCCAGTTGGGCAAAACTTACATACTAAACTTGACGGTACGAGTGAATTTAATTAATAAACATAAAAAGATACACATAGTCAAGGAAGATGGAATGAGTCTTACCCTTAAATGCATCTCTATCCATAGATAAAAGTTCAACAAATAAAAAAACTAAAACTAAACCAAAAGTAAATGCAATACAAAAGAACACTATTTTAAATCTAAAATTTAACCATGCGAGGCTTAGAACTCTTAAATTCCTCAATTTTCGATGCATTAGCAAACTCTCTTTCATTCCTAAATAAACCCTACAATACTCAATTTTAAATTAAAACTATAATTAAAGATATATAGAAAATAGAGGGAGAAAGAAGCAGCTGATGTTGAGTAGCTAAAAGAGAGAGAAACAAGCTGAGGTCGTATAGCCAAAAGAAGGGAGAGAAGATACGGGACCACCTAGATGGGCATCATGTGTGTAAGGTTTGCTTTTAATTTTTTTTTTTACTTAAGTTATTTTTTTTTTTTGTAAAAAAAAAACTATGCGGGCACCCAATATGTCCTGTGCACAGAACCGCCCTTGCTTGGCCTTTATAGGGTTAAATGTTAAAAGATAAAAGCCTAAACAATATTTTAGTATATCCAATAAAAAAAAAAAAAAAAAAAAAAAAAAAAAAAAAAAAAAAAATAGCATGTCTGTCTTCTTTCTTCGAAAAAATATTGAAATTATATTGATGTGATGATTTAAAAAGTTTTACAATTTTCATTTTTAAAATACAAGAAGTATGACTCTTCAGCAAATCAGCGAAACACATGCCATTAAAATATTAAATAATTAATTTTAAAAGTAGTCCGATTTAACTTTTAAAATTTCGATGGTCCACTATTTAATTTTTTATTCCAAAACCAGTAATTCATAAATATTATCATGATTTGAAGAATTACCTGATGGAAGATGAAGGAGGTTACCTTTGAAGCGTGCTTTCAAACCTTTCGAATGGGAAGAAGATGACATACTTTAGAGAGAAGAAGGTGCTTGCAATCTCTCTCTAAGGTGGCCAGTTTAAGCTTGGAGGACTTGTAAAGAATGCAACAACCCTACGATGAGATGAAGACATAAGTTTCCTTAAATATGAGCCTCAAAACAAGTGACTCACTCACTCCTCTATGCTTGGTCTGCCAAGCCTTGTGAGTGGGGCATTTTGGGCTTCCTTGGTTAATAGTTGTCATCCAACTTATGTCCCAAGCCCAATTAGTTAAGGCCCAATGGGCCTAAGAATCTGAATCCTATTTTAAGGTCCATTACGACATGCCCTTATGTTTTCCCAAAACTTATGTTTAACAGTGTGTGAATCTATTATGTTCTAATTAGCGAGGCAATGGGATTAGAACTCTTATTAATTGATTGTGAATTAAAACTTCCTTTTAATTTTCTCTATAAGTGAGGATCATTATAGTTAATCCTAAGGTCATCTCCAACCTAAGGACTTAAACCAAAAATATCCCAAATTATTGCCCAAAATCTCTCCAAACCCAAGAAAAAGAAGGACCCAAAATTTGGAAAAATCCAAATTTAGACCCAAATACCAGCCCAAAACTATTTAGTGGAGCCCACGCTGAGCGGGCACAACCCATGTGCATGAGAAAAACACTGGGACCAGCTCTGGTAGGTATGTCTGTTGCCCATGCCATGTGTCTGCTAGTGGTGAAGTGGTCGTTGCAATTCCATTTTTTTTTTTTTTTTTTTTTTTTTTTTTTTTTTTATATTTATTTATTTATTTTTTATTTATAATTTAATATTATCTTTAAAATATACTAGGCCCACAATGCTGGCTTTATTATAGCTTAAAATGGCGTTGCAATTCAAATATTCTTTTTATAAAAAAAAAATTCTAATAGTAACTTTAAATTAACGATCTAGATTAAATCTAAGCTATTTTAACGGTAAAAAAAAAAAATCAAACGGCTGAAATTTAAATCCAACGATCAAAATAATATTTTAAATTAATCCAAATCAGATCCAACCCCAAAACTCACTCCAAACTCTATAAATACTCACTCATTTCTCAATTAATCTACCAAAAACATATTTTCTATTTCTCAATTTATTTTTCCTTTGTCAATTTCATCAATCTCTTTCATTCTCATACTTATGATATCATTTCAAGCACATCATCTTCTTCATTCTCATACTTTTCATATCATTTGAAGTTTGCAATGGATAACCGTGGCAAGACCATCTTTTCCTTTATGTTTGATGATGATGATTCAGATGATGAAGAACATCAGCAGAGAGTGATAGAAACCATTGTCCACCATACTTCACTGGAGAATGAAGCCATCAAACATGGTGGGTCGGTAGTCGGCCGTGTGTACAAGAGCCGTGAGAGGGAAGATCGCTATTGCAATCTCATGTCCGACTACTTCTTTGAAAGGCCATATTTTAATACTACTGACTTTCGTATGCGGTTCCAAATGAGGAAAGAGTTGTTTTACCGCATCTTGAATGATGTTGTCAACCACGAGCCATACTTTCGCCAAAAAAAAAAAGACGAGCTCGGTCAACAAGGGCTATCCCATGAGCAAAAGTTAACTGTTGTATTTCATATGCTCGAGCTCAGTTGACGCGACTGACGAGTACTGTAGATTGGGTGAAAGCACAACTCTTGAGTCACTCTATAAGTTTTGTTGCGCTGTTAAAGCCGTGTATGGCCAATGGTACCTCAGGTCTCCAAATCCAGCTGACCTTTACAAGCTATTGCACAAGACAAGCAGTCGAGGCTTCCTAGGAATGTTAGGAAGTCTTGACTGCATGCACTGGGAATGGAAGAATTGCCCATCTTCTTGGGTAGGCTAGTTTACCAAAAAAAAAAAAAAAAACAAAACAAAAAAAAAAAAAAACCCACTGTGCTATGTGTGCCGTGGCCGTGCCGTACGACATATGGATATGGCATGCCTTTTTTGGAGCCGTTGGATCTAACAATGATGTGAACATTTAAGCTCGTTCTCCATTGTTCAATGATGTGGTATATGGAGTGGCTCCTTATGTTGAATATATTGTCAATGAAAATCAATACCATTTGGGCTACTATTTGGCAGATGGGATCTACCCCCGTTGGGCTACTTTGGTGAAGACCATCTCTTCTCCTGATAACCCAAAGAAGAGGCTTTTCGCACAAATGCAAGAAGCGTATATGAAGGATGTTGAAAGAGCATTTGGAATACTACAGGCTCGATGGGTTATTGTTCAGGGCCCTGCACGTATGTGGTGCAAGGATAACCTCCACTCAATCATGATGACGTGTATAATTTTGCACAACATGAGTGTGGAGGATGAGTACGAATATGTTGAAAAGGAATCTGATGATGAGAATATGTGTCCACAATGATCCAGGAGGGCCAGAGCAAGACAATATGAGCTGGAGCCAAGCATTACATATGAGTACCACCAAGATAGGCAGACTCTCTCTGATTACATGATTCGTCATAATAGAGTTCGATCTCCACATGTGCATCAAAGCCTCCGACATGATTTGATCAATCACCTTTGGAGGAGCTTTGGAGATGGTGAATGAAGTCGACAATTGTTTCAATCCTCATTTTGTGTTTCAATTATGTTGTGTGTTTACTTTTGGAATAAAATTAAATTTATGGAATTTCAATTATTTTTAGGTCAAATTGTTCAAAAAATTAAATTATGATGTTATTTAAAAAGATTAAATGAAGAAAAGTTTTTCATTAAAAAAAAAAATTAGACTTAAACAATTCTTAAACAATTTAATAAAGTTGCGGACTTAAAATTTGAGTCCGGAGGGTTGGGAGAAAAATCATTTGAGTCCGGGCAAAATCCAAATAGTCACTTTTTGGAGGGGGAAAATTTGGGTTTAGCCCTGGGTTGGAGAAGGCCTAAGGGCTTCCATAAGCCATGAGTCACATTTAGCAGTATGTCATGACTACCCAAGCAAAGTAGAATAGAAAAAATCTATTCAATTGGAATTACAATGTAATACAGTCATTCTCTATTTCAATACTCCCAATCACATTATTATGGTATGGATAATTCATGTCAAGCCCATGTTGTGATTCACTCACTTTCATATGATTTATATTAGCATATTAAAACTTCTTTTTTAAGTCATGCTTGACAATTTCATCAAAGTTTTCTTTAATCATATCTTAGAGCATTCTCTCTCTTTATTGGGGATATAGATTCTTTATTTTACACTAACATGCCTCTATGAATCAATTGAGAGGGTCCCAAGAATACATGAGGCATATATGTGGCCAATACATGTTTATATATATTGTACTATCAAAAAGACTAAGGACTACTTTGCAATTTTGCAACCCAAAGTTTCTTGTTTGACATGTAAGTGAAACTTTCATGCAAGAACTCTTGATTGATTGTGTTTAGTGAAATCACTATCCATTGAGCACCTACATACTTGTCTTAGCGTCTCTACACAAATGAGTTGAGACCAATCATCCTCCCAATAGAGCAGACATTGTATGTACCGGTTTTTGTGGGTTATCAATGACTAGTTGATAATTCTATGACTAGAAACTGTTTAGGATATGAGGGTTATAAGAGGAAGGTCTCCTAAATATTGTTTAGAATGTTTTCTCTTTATTTCATATTTCTTGGACTATTGTTTAAGCATTGTTAAGCAAAAATTGGACAAGTAATTTGTATGAACCTTCACCCAATATAATCTCACTCTTGTCGATGACATAAATGAATTTGTATTATTTTAGCTACAATCTCTTGTTAAAAGAGAACATCCTTTGATTCTAACATGAATAAAATGTAATTGGGGGTTTTGTGTGTTTGTTTAAGTTTGCAACTGCACCTAGGTTGGACCCCAGATCGCCTACATATCCCTTTTAAGGGATCAAGCTACTCATAGTTCTTCTTAACATAGGAATTTATTTGGAGTGAATTTGTTTGTTTCACATTATTTAGAGATTTCAGACTTGGAAATCAACCAAGGTTTTAGTGTCAAAAAGAAAACAACAAGTGGTGTACTTTTATATCAATTATTTCTTAACTGACATATTGGAATTTTGGACTGACTAATTTTAATTTATAAACTTTCTTTTCCTTGATCAAGTCTCCTTGATATACATATTGTTGGTAAAAAAAAATAAAGATAATTGCTATATTTATAGATGATAGAGTCGAGAACTAGGTTCTATCTTCTTAAGACGAAATTACCTCCTCTTAGGTGCTTTTAGGATTTTCTTGGAAAATGTCTCCTAGGATAAAACGATTGACTTCTTGTTGAAGTAGCACTACAATCCTCAAGAAAAACGAACTCAAACTTGTGTATGAACTCTCTCCTACTAACTCACTATATTTCGGAAAATACAATGTTATGAATGCTCTAAAAACTACTATTGTTGGATGACAATTGGATGAATGAAATGTTGTAGGACATTCTCTATTTATAGGCAACAAGGCCTCTGCACAAGTTACAACCATAAGCTAAGAAGTGCAATATTTCAATTACTATGAAACAATGCAACTTTTCACATATTATTATGGGAGTTTCACTAAAACACCCAAAATGGGGGTTAAAATTATAAAAAAACCCAAGCACTATTTAAACATATAAACACACCCAAAACCCATCATTACACACACTCAAAACTCATTTATAAACACACCAAAAAAGTTGACTTTGGGGTTGATTTTGGGTTTGTTTCTATGTTTAAAAAGTGCTTGGGTTTTTTTATAAATACATGTCTAGGATTGGATTTATTTATAAATTTGTATATTATTATTTCATTCACAAACAAAATAAATAATATTTTATTTTTCCTATGTTAAGAACATGACTATTCCCAATTGATACATACCAATTCGTAAAAGTCATGTACTTAAAGTCACGGGCCCACAATTTAATTTCCATTAAATTATTAAAAAAGTTAAATATAAATATTTTAATTTTCTAACACAAGTCTCCCCTACTCGTTCTCGCTTATGTTGTGTCATCTCTGTTCTTGACAGAACCTTCTTTTGATCTTTCTTTGTTTTTGCGGGCTTTTCTCTTTGCTTCTCCTTGGATTCAAACAGCCCTTCTATTCTTCACCTTTTGTTTTTCTGAAAATTAGGCAGCCCTTGGGCTCTTCTCCTTTTGCTTTTGCCTCCACCCTTTTAAGCCTTTGGTTCATACCTTTTTATAGGCAAAAAGGTGAGTAGCAATTGACGGAGCACGTTTCTTTACTGAGTGTGCCGCTGTTTTTATGAATGGAGTAGTAGGAGATAACTAGTTAATTCTCATCCCACCATTTTTCCTTCTTTTTTTCTTTGTTTTCCTTTTGAAAGTGGGCTAAAGTGGGACATTTGACTCTAAACTTGCTGCCGTGAGGCACATCACTGTCTTTTTTCTTTTAGTTTTTAAATATTATTTACAAATTTTCTTTGTAAAAAATATAGTGCAACAAGTACATAATGAGACAATTTCTATTAAACAATAAATCGGATTGAAGGAAAAAAAAATTAGTTGCAAAGTTCTTGTTTCTTCTACCACCCCGTCCACAAAATTTGTAAAATAAATACATAACCATCCAATGGTCCAAAACATTCAAAACTAAACACCTAAAAATTAGAAAAAGAAAAAAAAACCATGTAATCCTTTTGATATTTATATATACATTTGTTGAGGCCCAAAAAATCCAAGGTCGGGCCTAAGTAAATTTCTGGCCCAGTGCAATACTTATTTTAGAATAGACCCGATTTGGAGCACACAAAAGTTTGTCATACATGCTCGCACGAGCCATGATCCACGTGTCATGCCAAATAAATATGCAATCCATCACGCTAAGAATTGAAATGAGCCTATAATAATGTAGTGGCAATATAAGCCCAAGCTAATTATCCCATCAAGCATTATATCCCTTTTCAAAACGATAAAATTAAAGCACGCCAATCGACATACAATGCCAAGCAAAAAACCCTTATTTTGCACCTAGGCACGCTTGTTCACCCGTTTTGTGTTTATTCCTGATATGGAAGGGCAAAGTTCCCCACTGTTTTGGAAACCATTGACTGGTCAACAAGTCAGCTTTCTTTGGTGTATGAGCGTGTCATTACTAGCAATAAAGATTCTAGCATACTTCTTTAAAACCGATAACTTGAGACCCAAATTACTGATTTCTAAACAAGCGATTATGAATTTGGGTGAGGAATATCTCCCAAGTAAGTTCTTTTTCTTGCCTCAGACTGGTGAGGACTTCACAATTTATCTCAGTATAAAATTGGTAATTCTGGCCAGAGTAATGGATAATGAAGTGGACTATTTTAGACAGAACTGCTCTTTATAGAGCTACAAAGGAAGAAATCAACTCTAGAAAAGCAAAAAGAAAGCTGGAACTCCATTCCTGTCTGGATAGAAGCTTCTGATCCGGGCTGGACTGGGTATGTCTGGGCTAGACTGGACTTTCAACAACTTTAACTGCTTAGTTTCAGCTGTAGATCGATACCAAAGTTCAATTTTGGCAGAGTTTTAATCTATTCCAAGCTTTGGGAGGCTTTTGAGCAGGCAAAACTGCAGCTTTTTTAGTTTGAAGGGACAGAAATGGCTGTTCTTAAGAACCTAATGAGCTGGAAACTGCACTGTGAAATTTGTTGAGGTTTTCATATTTGAGAAAACTCAAACTCTGCTTGTCTTAGCTTTTGCTGAACCAAATTTGTAACGAGAGAGATCTCGTTTTGAATGACTTATTTCTTTAAGTTTGAACTTTGGGAATTCTGATCTAAAATTGGTTTTTCTTGTTGTTCAAGTGAGCTTTTGGTTGATTTTTTGGTTGTTTGTTTGATTGATGAAATTTGAGTATGTCGATTATGTTCACCCTCTCTTGTATTTATAAGGAAATGCTTTGGAGTAGGGTTTCTTTCTTTTAATAATGGGAGACAAAAATTCTCAAAAGATGTTTTCATTTTTAAATGCAAAGGAAGAAGAAAAGTTTTAATCAATTCTAGTAGATAAGCTCTCAACAGTCAGTTCTCAAGATCACTTCCCTATTTTTCCTGAAAGAGAACCTAACCTCTTTTTAATTTCCAACTGCTCCCTGTGAGAGCTCAAACCGTGATGGTTAGTTTGATTCTCAGTTTGAATAGCTCCCTGTCTTCCTGCTTATCTCTTTTTGAAAATATGACCTACTTATCTTTTGGGAGAATCACCCTTTTTTGGAGTAGAAGAAATATCTCTAAATATATTATACATAAAAATAAGGGTTTGATCTTCTAATGGCAGAGATTTTAGAGAGGTCTTCTCCTAGTTTGCCTGCTTTTGATTAACATACTTATCAAATCAGTTGAAAATGTTGACTTTTCAATGTCAGAGAAAAGAGATTTCACATGGGTTTGTTTTTATTTTTCTTCTTT